CACGCAAGAACTCGCTGAAATCATGTTAAATATTGTGGTCGAGGCTGATTTTTGAAATTTTTTTTTTGCCGCCGCCGACCCACATTTGTCTAGATCAATCGTGGAGATAGCCCCGTGATTAATGCTCAGAGGTTATGCTTTTCGGTGGCTTTGATAAATGTTTCTTTTGAAACAGAATTTATTCAACATTTTTTAAATATAATCGTCATGTTTCAAAATCCTTGAAACGTTCTCAGGCTTTCCCAACATACACAGCATCGGTATTTCATTTGATCATTGGTGTCAGGGACATATAGATATTACAAAGTAAATTAAATTTGTTTTTTTATATAATTTTAACAAACTAAAGACTAGGTTTGGTTAAATATATTGTGCCTTTAACAGAAATAATTGTCCCATCTAAAAAATCGACAGCAACCGCAAAATCACTGGATTCGAAAGCAGTTTATGACAATTTATGTTTTTTTTTTAACCATCGCAAAGACGTAATCTTTTGTTTAATCCACAAATAAATTAAAGCGAATCAGGCAAACAATAAGGTTAGTTAACTAACCTGTTGGACCGAACAGAACTCTACATTTATCCGCGTGAAGTGCATCATCAACGCGGAATGTTAGCCAAACAAGATAAGCGGAGAAAAGTGATGTTAATGGCTGAAATCTAAAATCCCGAGCTTGTCCGCGCATTTGGTGCCCAATTTATCACCCCTGACTGCTGAACAAACGAAAGTGATATCTTAGCATTCGAAGCTAGTAGACAATTGTGTGCTAATGATTAAAGACAGCGGGTTGGCCACCAAAGAAGCGAGTGCATGGGGGTACTCATTGCCTGGGCTGTGTCAGAGTGCCAGACTGGCTTATAATATGGTCACGGCATGCTGTGCATTGCAGTCAGATGCAAATGACACAGAAAAAATTTGATATTTTTTATTGGGCATTTACAAACGGCACAGCAAACCGCAGGGCATGACCTCCGACCGTGCAGAGACCCAGCCACGAAACCCAACGACGACGATGACGATGACGACGGAGTCTTCCAAAAGGAATCACGATGGGGCCGCCGTTTTTGGTGCATTAAAATGCAACTGAGATTTATGTAAGACGCGGCCGCGAGTTCGCGAGCATTTGGTAGCACAGGAACCCCTCATTATCGATCGATATAAGCGGTCGGACGGGACAGTCGATGAGAGACTGAGTGGCTGGCTGAGCGGGGCCAGGAACCACGGATAATAACTTGATCACAGGCACAGGAAAATCATTTATTGTGACACGATCGCCGATCGAGGAGAGATTCTCCCCCACTCAGCATTAGCTTGTTGTCATGCTGCTTGATTGCCTTGTTAGCTTTTTTGATAGTATCTCTGTACCTAAGTACCTAATTGCTGAGAGATAAAATATACACGGTTCCGCAAATTTTATGACTTTATTGTGTGTGTGTGTCCAAGTAATTCGCTACCATAATCCCCATGAGTGGAGCATTTCCTTATCCACTTTGTTGTCATTTGTGTTATGAGTGAGCATAAGATAAAAGTAAATTTCATTTGTTTTCGCAATATATCACGAAAGCAGACACAAAAATTATATTAGCAAAGTTAAAAAAGCATTTTAAGCACATATTAACTGGGTACTTAGAAAATTGGAAAAACGGATAATTGCTATAATTGATAAATTAATATTTGCTAGGAAGGGTTTTTAACAGACAAGTCTTAATACAAATTTTCATTTCTACCGTGTTTTTTCAATGCTTGGAATAATAAGTTTTTGTGTATATACTTTGTCTTAACAATCAAGCTTAACAATAAATTCTACGATGATCAAGATTTTTGTATCCTAATTTAAGGGTCCAGCAGCCCCATTGGCTTTATGTGTTCTATAATATAGTCTATGTAGAATAGAATGACTCTTGGTATCTGTGGCCAACGCACACGCTGGCAGTTGATTTCCACCTTGGCATGTGGGTGAGAAGTTGGAGGTCCAATCAATCAACCACTAATCCACGATACTTAACCCCAGGCTGCATTATGTCGTTAACTCATGGAATATCCCTGGGATGGTTCTCGCCCACTTTGCCCATCCTCAAATCGGATTCGAGTCCAATTGGCGCCCCAGTTCAAATACACGAGGTGATGTGGTAAGTCGACCTTGAAATTGGTAGACTTACGTTTTTATAAAACCCTTTATGACTGACAGGATCGGTTCCATGCTTGCAGTTGGCTCATTGATTGTCAATATGATTATTTGGTTTCCGATTGGATTTTTCGGAATAAAGAAGTGCATGTATTTCGTGCCCTTACCCAATATGGTAGATAATATACCTCCTTAATATTAGGGTATTCCCTGAAACTCAGCCCCAAAGGATTTCTCTTTTTTAATGCAGATAAACTGGATCCTAATCTACGTAGCAAACAACTCGGCTTATTTGTATATCGCTCGTGTTCTGTTGGGAGTATCTGGTGGCATTCTTGTCGTTTGCTTTCCCATTTTCATTGCGGAAATTGCTGATAAAAGGTATGCTATCCCAAGAAACAACTATAACAGTGACGAAAAGATAAAATTATGCTGTGAAATAAATTAGAATAGGCATTTTTAAGTATCAAGTATTGTACAAAATTTACAAAAAAACATTCATATCACAATTTGTATATCAATTAGTTCTTCACTAAGTTGCAGTTGAATTATGATATTGTATATTCGCTCACGCAAGTCTGTTTCTAGAAACCCGTAAAAATAAATATCTTATATCTTGCATATCCGGTGAAATTATTGTACCTAGGTACAAGTATCTAGGTTCACACTAACACTGCTCACAGTAAAAAATAAGAAGAACAAAGTATCTACACAATAGAAGATAAGAAAAAAACAAATAGATAAGTTGTAAAGTAAAAGTACAAATTTGTGTGGCTACTTTAAGATTCGATATCGTATTACAAGGTACAACTACAAAATACACAGTACCTTAATCTTTTAAAATCATTTGCTAAGTACGATGATTCGAGCAACGAAAATTGTTTCTGTATATACAATTTCTAGTCAGTTAATGTATCCAACAATATGGCATTTTGAAATAATCATATTGGAGTCTAGTTAGCATTTAAATAATATTTACCATTTTTTCTTCAAGTGTTCGTGGAACTTTAACGTCATTCTTCATGCTGACTCTTTGCGGCGGCATAACAGTAGGATTTTTGTTGGTTGCCTACATCTCCTATCATGTGCTGCCCTGCATCGTCATTGTCCTGCCCATTCTCTATACGATCCTCATCATTCCACTTCCCGAGCCTCCACAAGATTTGCTGCGACGAGGCCACGATGAAAAGGCCGAGAAGTCGTATTACTTCTACAAGAATTTTACAAGCGACCCGACTATGCAGAACGAAAACAAAGCGGAGTTTGACAGTTATCGGGAAAGAGTATTAATCGGCGGCGTTAAAGAAAACATTACTCGCCAGGATTTCTGTAAGTGAGATTTGGAAAATGGAAAAAACCGTTCCTTGCTATAGTCGTAACCCAACATTTTAACACATTTTTCGTTACATGCAGTCAACAAGGATTTAGTGAAGACGTTTGGGCTGATCGTTGTGCTGCTGATTTGCAACCAGATGTCGGGCACCTTTGCCATCTTTAACTATGCGTCGACCATCTTCACCCAGCTCGGCAGCCGGATGGAGCCGAACATGTGTGGCATTGTGATGGGCCTGGTGCAGCTGGGTGGCCTCTCCACCGCCGTGCTCCTGGTGGACCGAGTGGGTCGCCGACGGCTCCTGATCCCGTCGCTGGCCGGGATGGGTCTGGGTGAGCTGGGCGTGGGCCTGCTGAAATCCTTTGCCTCGCCGCAGTTTCTCCACCACAATGGCTGGATCGGGCTGACCCTGATGTGCTTGGTGGCCTTCTCGTCGTCCGCGGGACTAATCGCCCTGACCTTTGTCATCATCGTCGAGCTGCTGCCAGCCAAGGTAAGCTATGGCTTAGGTCTGTGGTCAAAGGTCTGGCTAAGGCTAAGGGATTACCGTTCCGCAGATCCGCGCCACCGGCACCTCCATCAGCATGTGTGGACTCAGTTGCTCGGTTTTCACGGCGCTCATGACCTATCCCGTCATGATCGACAAGTACGGAATTGATGTCACAATGTACATGGCGGCGGCTTTCTGCCTTTTGGGAGTAATAGTGATGGGCCTATTTTTGCCTGAGACCAGGGGAAAGAGTATGACTAAATAGTGAGTTGATATTAGCTTAGCGTTTAATGTGGACTCTACGATGTTCGGATAAGAGAAAAAACACTTCGGCCCATCAGTTTGTTTGGAAAACGATAAATTTATCTTAACAATCTGTTAAGTAAAAGTAATAAAAGGAAAAGCTCGATTAGCTACGAGAAAAAACACTCTTCCAACTTAATTGGTGTCATAATCTTTAACCTACTGTTACCTTTTTCCTGATATTTGCATGAAATTGAGATAGCTATATCCCTGTTTACGATATCCCTCTGGATAGAAGACATATTTACCTAAAAGTGAAAAATATAAAAGTATTCCAAAAAGTGTAAGTGCAAAATACGTTAGTAAAAAATGATTTCTTTTTACAATCTTTTGTTAGCAATGTATTTGCTTATCTTTCTTAATATTGTCACGCAAAGTCATGAAAAGCTCTTTAAATTTACATAGTCCTATTGCTTCCATCCAACAAGTCCAACAATAACATTAGTGTGAGTGTCAAGACATTTTTTTGCAACAAAATTTACAGACTACTTTCCGCACACCTCTCGAAACCAAAATGAAGTGCATTAATAAGCGGTAAAAACTTAGAGACTACTTAATACTTATCTAATCTGCAACAATTTAATAATCGTCATTATTGTTTACAATCCGAGAAGATTGGGATGTATAATACGTATCTCTACGTGATTTCCACTACAAAAACGTTCGCCAGCCAAAGTTAAAGCTCTCAGTAGGCACACGACTGCCCAGCGGTTAGTTCCTCAGCTAAAAGCGGAGCACTTTTCTGAGTCCTAAGAAATAAGACAGTCAACATGACGTTCGATACAAGTCTACCCCAGAAGTTGAGTGTTTTTAGTGCTCGGTACCGATGGCAACTTATTGCCACTATGACGGGTAGGTCTGAGTGCGGTGCTCTGCAGGGACACTAAGTCAAAGAAATAATTTCCAGTGCACATAATGACGCTGACCCATGGAATTGGCGTGGGATGGTTGTCACCCACTCTGCGACTCCTCGGATCTGATAAAAGTCCCCTGGGAGACCCTCTTACCATCACCCAGGCATCCTGGTAAGTTACTATCCTGTGTCATGGTAGTATCGGGTATAATAAGTTTATGCTTCCAGGATTGGATCTCTTATCGGCCTTGGCTCGCTGACTGGCAATATAATCTTTGGGCTGCTACTCGATCGTTTGGGCCGTAAACTGTGCATGTATTTCCTGGCCATACCCAATATGGTAGATAACGTTAAACTTGCTTTTGAAGGGGTTTCCCAATTGCTTGAGTCACTTCAACGTGTTGTTTTGGATTCGATAGATCTACTGGATCCTTATCTTTGCCGCCCAAGACGTTACGTATCTATATGCTGGACGATTTCTGGCGGGGATGTCGGGAGGCGGCTGCTATGTCGTCTTGCCCATATTCATTTCGGAAATAGCCGATAATAGGTAAGTGGCGCCATTCACGAGGGAGGAACGTATTAATTGATAGGTAGGTTCAGACTTTGTGATTATATCGGCACTCGATTGTCTGCCTTCAAACGATTAGATAAAGGTCGGACAATTATTGTATATTTTTAAATGAATTACTCGGAATCAACACTGATCGACAATTAAATTAGTGAAGCGTTCAATCAACAAGTGATGTGAATAAGAATTACACATAACTAAAGTAAATTGTTGCAATCTTAAAAAATGAATATGTATGTGAATATACTGAAACAAGTGTTGAAACCAACGGAAACAAAGTCAGTTACCGATGTAACGAAAATAGCTACTGTGACAGCTGAGCAAACTTTTGCCCGGAATTTTATGGAAAGGTAAAAAAAACATCTGGCATAAGCGGTTAAATAAGATTGTTCGAATTTCATTGAAACTACATATGTTAATATTTACTAATTTTAAAACAAAAATAAGTACAAATATTTCATTACCTGTTCTCAAGATAAATTAAAATCTTTAACTAACTAGGGTTAATGGTCGTCTAGTATTTTTACCTCGGTTAGGTATAAGGTACCAAAAAATTGTACCAATGTAAGCACCTTGATAAAAGTATCTAAGTACACCCCAGCACTGCAACCAATTTTACTTTTTTATGTCAAAAAATAAAGAAAAAGATTACATTTTTAATATTCATTCTATTGGATGTAAATCTGTATAGGTCGTGCACATGGTGCCTGGAATAAGGTTTAAAAATGTTTGCGTGCACGAGGGTTAAAGCTGGGACTGCCATATATCACTAAAGAGTGTCAGCACATTTTGTCAATTATTTTTTCAGGGAATGGACCACTTTTTGTGAAACGATGTCAAGACCTTAAAAAAAGGTATTGCGTTGTAAGAAACTAGAAAGTTATTAGGACAAAAAAAATACAATTTATTGACATTATAGATAGCTAAATAATTTATTTAAAGAAATATTTTCAAGAAATAATAATTATATTATTCCAGCGTTCGCGGAGCTTTGTCGTCCATGGCCATGATGTACGTTGCCATCGGCATGATGGTGGGCTTCTCATTGGCCTCATATCTCTCGTACTATCTGATGCCGTGCATTATCGTCGCCCTGCCGGTGGTGTTTATGCTGGCAATCAGCCGCTTATCGGAGACGCCACAGTATTTGCTGAGGCGCGGCCGCGATGACCAGGCCGAGAAGTCCTTCTACTTCTACAAGAACCTGACGCCCCCCACTTCATCCGACAGGGAGGCTTCTAGGCATGACGTGGCCAAAATGGAGTTCGACACTTTCCGGCTTCAGGTTTTAAGTGGCGGCGTCACCGAGAGCATTTCTTGGCGAGATTTTGGTGAGTGAGATAAGGAATGTTATATGAACAAAGTTGAATGATCAGCACACTAAGCTAAAAGTCTTATCAAGATTAAATTTATCATAGACAAGTACCGTGCTACTTCTGACCAGTTAATCTGTATACAATTTAATTTTATCAAATCATTTTACCAAACAGGAAATACGTGTCTCTTGTCTTTTGGCTGGCTCAAAGTCAAGGTATTTTGACTGCCTATTTTTCCTTTATTGAAAAGACACTTTCTTTTCCCTTCTCCAATATATTTAAAACCCCGCGGGGTCCGTATTCAGGGCTGTACAATATTTTAACAAAGCACAAGCTTTAAACATTCAATTTATTGTAAATACATAATTGTGACACCTGCACGACCGTTCTTTCCGCTGCGGAGTTATAAACTAATTTCTAAATTTATTTTGGTCAAGTAAATGTCTGCAACCTTTTCAGTGTTTGTTTTAAAGTTTAGTCTAGTGTGCGTGGGAGTATAGTTGATGTAGATTATTTCGATAGTGAACCGCTTGTTGTAATTTTTTTCTTGTTGTATTATGCTGAACAACGCAAAGTCTAGCGAAGGTCTTTCTTCCATTGAGTTCCGCACTGTGGGCAGCAAGAAACATTTCTTGTATTAAACTTTCACCTCTTCGTTTTATGTCTGATTTGTGTCCTGCTAGTATAGCTAGCTTTCATAGTTTTCGAGATCACAGACGGATAGGGGAATATGATTAGATCGACTCGACTATTGATCCTGATCAAGAATGTATATACTTTAAATGGTCGGAAACGCTTCCTTCTACCTGTTACACACTTTTCAACGAACAATCATTTATTTATTTATATATTGCTAACTTATATTTAAAACCAAGAGTTAACAAAAAATGGTTAGAGCTATAACTGCTATAGGCCTTCAGCTCATCGAGTGGTTAAATATTATATATTTAGGCATTTGAAGCTCCTTGCATGATACATTTATACATTTTCTTGTTTACTTTAATAAATATTATTTAGTTTCAGTGTGTAAAGCTCCCTCTTAGAACCCATTAGCCATTAAATTTTGTATGATTATTTGTTATGTATTCTTGCAGTCAACGTACCCGCTATAAAGATATTCGGCCTGATCTTTGTGCTGATCGTCTGCAACCAGCTGTCAGGGAGCTTTGCCCTCTTCAACTACACCTCGCACATCTTCGCCGAGCTGGGCAACAACATGGACCCCAACACCTGCACCATTGTGGTGGGCGCTGCCCAGTTGGTGGGCATCTTCAGTGCCGTGGCCCTGGTGGATCGCCTGGGACGTCGTATCCTGCTGCTCACCTCGATGGGGGGCATGGGCTTGGGGGAGCTGGCCATTGCTCTGCTGAAGTGTTTCGCCTCCGCGGAGTTCCTGGATCAGAATGGCTGGCTGCCCTTGGTCATTATGTGCCTTGTGGCCGCTATTGCGTCGCTGGGCGTCATTCCTCTGATCTTCATCATCATTATTGAGTTGCTGCCGGCCAAGGTGAGTGTTTAGGAAAAAACCATTATTAGCCACACTAACCTATCGAGAAAATAAGGGAAACAAGTTGGTAAAAGTTAAACCATATGTGAGTCCCATATCTTGTTTATATGTAATCAAAAACAAACAAGAAAGGAAGCAAGCTTCGGCAAGCCGAAGTTTATATACCCTTGCAGCTATTGCAAAAATTAAATTAAATACTCTTTGAAACATCTAAAATTCGAGTTATATGCGTATATGGTTTATAACATTAAAGCTATGGTGCTTTTCAGTTTAATTATTCGATCGTTCCTATGGCAGCTATTTGATACCGTTATCCGATTTAAATAAAACTAAAATAGTAATTCTAAACTATACAATAGACATAGGTCAAAAAGAATTTTTAAAAAAATTAAAATATTGGGAAGTTACATTTTGTTTTTATTATATACTTTTTTTTAGATTTGATTGTGGGAGCTATATGATATAGTCGTCCGATTTTAAGAAAATTTAAACCGTAACTCAGGAATATTTAACAATTAATATTTCCCTAAGAACTAAAAAAAATTATGTTATAATTATGTTTGTTTTATTTTTGTTTCTATGGGAGTCCGAGTCTTTTCGACTTATATACTACCTGCAATAAAAAGGCAATTTTGGGAGTTAAGATAAGACTAGTTTGCGTTGAAACGGACGGACAGATAGATAGATAGACGGACATGGATAGATCGACTCTCCTAGTGACTGAAATTATAATACACTCTTCAAGGGTATAAAAAACATTGCGTACTTGACATTGTCAGTACAGTGAAAAAAACAAAGATAATGATTCTTGTTGTATTCACTCAAAATGTCAAAGCTACAGTCAGTGGATTAACAGAAAAATAGTTTTGATTTTACATTAGTTATTAAAGAAATATATTTATAATTCGCTATTTAAGAGCAGTGTTCAAGCATTTAGCTGATCAGATTTCCTTGTCTTTTTGCAGATTCGCTCTATCGGCACCTCCCTGAGCATGGCCACTTTCAGTGCATTTATATTTGTGGCTCTGAAAATCTATCCCATCATGATCTACGATCAGGGCCTGGCCGCCACCATGTTCATGTCGGCGGGAATGTGCCTCTTTGGATTCATTGTCTTGGGACTGTTTCTGCCGGAGACCAAAGGAAAGCTGATGACGCACTGATGACATCAACTTTGAGCCCAACGGCCACGCCAGATTGTTGCTTTTGTTGCCTTTGCGATGCGAGCCCATTGCATAAGCTGCTGGATCCACAATACTCCCATGTCAAGAGTACTCACTCAATAGTTTCTGGCACAATGGCAGCAACGGCTCATCCTGAACTCTTGAACTTTATTCAATTTCCTACCATTGCGGTTTGTCCTACGTTACTTCTGTAAAGAGAAATTTAATTTAGTTTTGTTAGGAGAAAGTCTCGGGGCTGTGATCTTGTGATTGATTAGCGCGAAATAGTTTATAAATAGACCTATGTAGTTACTCGTAGCTTTTATTTACTTAAGTGTATTAGGATGCGATTGTAAACTTTCTTGCTGAGTGAAATAAAATTTTAGTGTTCTTTAAACCATGGCTGCAGAATAAATTTACAAAACAAAGTTTCACAATTAATCATCGGAAAGGATGAAAATTCTATCATATTTAAATTTGTTTCCTAAATTTCAGGGTTTCAAGGTTATTAACGTTTAAATGTTTTCCAGAATATTTCAGATTTGCAATAGCTGCAAGGGTATATGAACTTCAGCTTGCCGAAGTTTAATTCCTTGTTTTATTTTTAAATTAGAACAAATTATGCAACAAAAAGTGAAAATTTTAATTTTTTACGAAATTTATGAGTTTAACTCGACAGCTAAAAAAACACTGTTTAACGGTAAATTACGGTGTATAACTTAATTAAAAAGGTACCTTACTGTTACCAGAAACATGCGAAAAAATGGTATTTCGACAAAATCCGCTTTGTAGCGTATTCCCAGACATATGGATTAAAATAATGAATAAAAATCGATTTTTTGAAACTGCGAGAGTAGAAGACCCTCTTACAATTAGATTGAATTATATATTGAGTTATTAATTATTTATTTTTTGTTTTTTAATTTTAGACCCTTTCTCAATTTATGTGGATCAACCTATTAAAATAATCTTAACATGTTCGAAGAATAAACTTGTAAAATCTTTTCAAAAATCGTGGGTATTATAGGGTATTAAAACCAAATGTAACTTCACTAATTTTCAATGGTTTGTTTTTAATTATTTAAGATATAAAAATGGTTTAATAAATCAGAATTACTCGTTTAATATATAGTTCGAAATTTAGATGTTCAATTTTTTCAATAGCTGCAAGGATATATAAGCAGCGGTTTGCCGAAGTTTGCTTCCTTTCTTGTATTAAACAAAACATATGCATTATAGCTTAGTTTTCACTTTAAAATAAATCACTCTAAGGCTATATATATTTTTTCCAATTTCATGGTGCTCGTCAGCTACGTAAAGTGTATCTCGCCACGATAAGCCTTCGGAGCAACAAGAAAACTCTTTTACCTACCCGTTTTCCTGCGATTACGCTGCTATGCAGAATTAATGAACTCGCAAAAGCGTAGAAGATAAAGCCAGCGAAGGCAAACGCCCGGCAGCCGAAGATCCAAAGAGCCAAACAATGACTCATAAATTCAGCACAATAAAAATTATTTATTTTGCTGCCACAACGGGTACTTTTGGAGCGCTGCAAATGCAGTTTCAGTGCAAATTAAGCGGCCGCGATGTGAGCGTGGAGAAAAGAAAATTTGATCTCTGTGACAGGACACACAAATCTCGCTGGATCTCCAGAGACGCTGCCAGCCCAGACAAAGCCAAGTCGGAGCTGGGTCGCAAAGTCCACAGAGGCACATAGTCTAATGCTCACATTTTGAGTGGGGGAGTTTCTTATTTCGGCAGTCTGTCCACAGCCATTTACATTTACATTTACGTTTACCCGAAGACGTTGCATCAAAATGCAGTTTCATAATTTTCACACGTTTTTCTGTCACTCAAAATGGAAATGGGATCTAGCCGCACCGCTGACAGGCGGAAATTTGTAACAACGTCGACGTGGCTGTTAGCTGCACTTATTACTTATTGCAGCTAAGTGCAAATGCGGCGGCAGACCGCAATTAGCCGCTGCTGATTAAGTTGATAATCAGTCGGGCCCTGGATGATGGGTCAGCCCCGGATGACTTGCCGGAAGGCGGTGGTCCCCGATCCCGATCCAGATCGAGAAAAGGGGCCTACGGAGTGGGCAAACAATCGCTGCTAATGCCAACAATTGCTCATTGTTGCGATTACGAGCATTTGATTTGTGGCCACACGGATGCCAATTGTTTGGCTTGATCCGCTGAATGAAAGCAGCCGGGCCATCGCCATCGCCATCCATTGTCTGCCCTGCATGACTATTAACACGCAATTTTCTATTTGGCCGAAATGTCGTTGCCTGTTGTTGGCCCACAGTAGCACTCCGATTTCGATTTCGATGCCGATTCCGATTCCACTTCCATAACTCACAATTAGCGCCGAGTGCCACTCACCCAGTGATCTCCATTGATAACCGTACGCTTTTCGGGATGACAACAGCGCAATTGCGAGAGAAATTATTCCTCGATTTATTATTGTGTCATTGCGAATATTGAATTCATTATTGTTCGGCTGTTGAGTTGCCATTGTGCCTTTCGGAAGTCGATTTCGGTAATTGTGAAAAATTGGTTTAAATGTTTATATGCTCTAATTTTGTGAATGGCGAGCCGCGCTTACCGAATTCCGCATTTCTTTTGAGCCCAAATATTATACAATCCAATGGGTGAAGGGCACTCAGGGGTATTGAATGATTTGGTTCTTTTTCGAGGCCTTTGCATAATAGCTTGTTCTGCTGCTCTTTGCCCTATGAAAACCAAAATAGTGTGGTCCAAAGTTGATTGAACTTTGGCCAAAATAAAAACCTTAATATATGCACAAACACTATTTGCATTTAAAACGTGGTTAAACGAAAAAAAAATACTTAAATATTCATACACTTTGGCTTACTTCCAAAAAACCTGACTGGCGGTGTGAAAACTTTATGGTAAATAAGGCGGCAAATGAAAAATTCGGCTGATAGGGTGGCTGACAGCAGAAGCTACCTGAAAACAGCTGGAAAGCTCATGATTAATTGAAAGGTCAAGTGGCGAGTGGAGTGCGTGAAGCGGTGTCGAGACAAATATATTCAGATATAAAGACATCAATGCTGTAGAGTTTCATTCTTATTATTTGTGATTGTCTTGAACATACACTCAAGTAATTGGCATAGCCTTGCAAAGCAAAAGTAATTGTCAAGGGATCAGAAATTAAACAGCCATTTATAAATGCATGTCAAAAATAATTAAACACGAAGAACAGGGAAAAAATTAGCTCTTCCTGTCAGAAAAGCATTTATAAAACGTCTGCCAATAAAATAATTAATAAGAGTACCTGTGTCTACGCCAGCATCGGCACAAGCATCAGCATCAGCATCTTAAAAAGGTCATTAAATCAACCTCAACTGGCGGTTGCCAAGACAAAGCCATCATTTTTTACAAAAACTGTTGGCCTGGCCTTTAAACATGAATTATAAATTTATGTTAGAACATTAATTTAATGCCTCCGCCACTTGAACGAAATTTCGCCACATCAAAGATTTATGAAATCCAACGAGACCTGGCATAAAATTAGCCACGATCATCAGCAGCTCAAAGAATGGTCAAGTGTGTGGATAGGATGTGAGGGCAAAAACACCATTTGGCCACTATTCGGGCCCGACAAAGAAGGCTAGACCTTTCTATTTTCTATAATGCTAATTTATGTTACCCACGACAGCTTTATTTCTATAATTATTATGTAAGACCGCGCGGCCACCAATCATGCAGCTAAAGAAAGAAACCTATTAATACGGAATTAACTCTTTTCTTCTCCAAACCTAAAAGCAGAAAATGACGCAAGTTTTGGGATCTAAAGATTACACAACATCTGACCCTGAAGTTGAGGCCGTTGTTTTTGGCTAGTTCTGTTGCTTAGGTAAAAGTAAAACAAAAGTACTTTCTCACGTTTGATGATTGATGAGAACTTTTATAAAGAGTTGTTGGTGAAAGTTGTAGAAGAAAGTTTCAAGAAGCTATACTAAAACATGAAGTTGAAAGAAATATAATTTAAAATCAAATGTTTTACCAAGCTAAGAGCATTGGTAAAAGTAGCAAAATCTTAAAAAATATTTTCAATTAACCAGAAAATAAGACTCCAATTCCCCCAATATCATAGATAAACGTCAGTGTTAACTGATTGACAGGTATTTGCTCAAATAAATTGCTTGATATATTTCCTATTTGCTATCCGCCAGTTGACATCACAAATTTGCTTTAAATGGACTACACAATGCAATGTTGTAGAAGTACTTTAAAGGCACTGGATGGGTTCTTGGAGATGGCCCACTGACATCATTGACATGGATTGGAGCAATTATGTTGGGAGCCCCAGTGTCGTTGTGGATGCTGCTCCGTCGACAGTGGCAAGTTGTTGTAAATTTGGTTATAAAACAAACACAAATGACATTATTCGCACGAAGGCAGGACGGCAACTTTGGCGGGCTGCCGTTGCAGCTGTTGCAGCACGACTTTCCTTGGCTTCTTCGCAGCAACTGCAATGGCAACTGCAACTGCAACGGCAACAATCAATTCGACAGCAACGACGACATTTGCGCAGGCGCAGGCGCCTTTGTTGCGCTTCAACTTCCGGAAATCACGCTGCTTGTTGTAATAATGTTTAAGCTTTTCTCGGTTTTTGTGTTTTTTTCGCCGAGGAATGGGTCAGGTCGGCGTGGTAAACGTAATGTGCACGCGAGCGAAATTACAAAATGCGCACAGTTAACGTAAAATTTGTTTGCCAAAACTTGTTAAATTTTTTCAATTATGCAAAAGTTAAATTTTAACACAATCTTGTGGCGGCGGTGGGTGAAATGAAGACATGAAGGCACGAAGACGATAGCCGAAACTAGTTGCTAGTTACAACCCATCGAAATGGGTTATGAAACTGGTCAGACATTCACCTCCTCGAAGGGAAAATTTTGGTTTCGGTTTTAAGGGAACAGGGAAGCCACGATTAACCAAATCTCAATGAATAAAAAATGTTTTTCAAATAATGTTTATGGGATTAAAATTTAATCATGGTAAAAGATACATTTTAGAAATATATAAAGTTTCAACATAACATGCTTTAGGAGGTTCCCTAAAAAGTATGAATAAATATATAAGTAAGCATAACCTATACTTTTACCATTCATTTTCTAATGAAAAATCAATTTTTTTTAAATTAAAAAATGTCAATAAAAGCTATCACATTTGGAATTTTTTTTCAGTTTTTCGCTTATAATTAAATATTTTAAAAGATTTATAAAAAATAGATCTAAAGATATTAAGATCAATTTTCCCCTAAAACTGTGTTTGTAGGTTAAACATTTCATTTAATTTACGAGTAACATTTGTTAAGTTGGCCAACATTTTTATGCAATGTTAATTAAATTTATTAGACTTAGAACTCGATTTTTCAGTTGTATTAAGTTCTTTTTGGGAAAGCTTGTGAAATGTTTTTTAGTAAAAATTTCTTGGTTAACTAATGAATTTTTCTTTTATTTAAAAATATTTTTTTTCCAGTCTATTTCGCGTTTTTCGACAAATAGGCTCTGAGCTTATACCTTTAGGTCTACAAAAGAGTTTCAAAAATGAACATAAAATTTTAATGGTCCTCAGAGATATAGCTGTTATAAAAATTTTACGCGACTTAAGCCAGGGAACTATTTTGAATCCGAAGTCCAAGCTGATTTTACATTTCTTTTGTTTTATTTATTATTTAATGATTATACAAAGAAAGAATTAATTACAAAATATATATATGTTGTTCAAAAATCGTATATCTACTATAGCAACATAATGCTGTGTGCATTAAATTAATTTTCTGTTAATGATTTAGTTAACATTAATTCCCAGAACATCTGTTTTGCCCAATTTGCCCATATCATAATCACTCAAATACAGTAGTGATCATTTCTGTTAATAGCGAACTAAAATCGAAAGACTAATGGTAATTTAATTGATTGCCAACAAATTGACACCTTGATTCGCCCCAGACCCGTGCGCTCCCCGGGTGGACGGCTAATGTCAGACAAGCGTTTCGGCCTTCCTGGGCACTTAAATCATGGCCCACAGCCGTGGACTGCAATTTGAAAAAAATTCTTTTGATTTATATGTACGAACGCGCTAGAAAAGCAACCGAAATGGCCTTCCCAAGTGGCAATCAATTCTGGCGGAACTGCGCGGCTCCAGAGCTGGAGAATCGCAACCCAGGTCTGAGCCGGGGGCATGGAACACTCTGCACGTGTTGACTCCCAGTCGAAGTCGATGATTTAGCTCGCCTCGTTACCTCAACGCCATTTGACCCGCAGCAATTGAGGTAGCCACGATTCGTCGGCAGTCTAGCAGTCTGGCTCTCGGTAGCAGTGATGCCAAAGGTACTGTAGTTTCACCATGGGCACCTTTAAGAAACTTACAAAAATATATTTTAGTTAAATCTTTAAAAAACTAAAAACTGTTAAACTGTTTTCTCGTGAAAATTTGTGGGTCGGCGAGTCGAAAATGTTGATGAAAAGTTTGCATATTTTTACAAAGGTCGATTCTTTTTGGCAACAACGAACGGAAGACAGCCAGAAGATTTATCGTTCGAAAAATTAACGTTACATTAATGAAGCAAATTAGTATTTTCCATCAATTTACACATCCATTTTCAAACCTTAACCAAGTATTTTGATTAGTTTACTCTATATTTGTATATCAACATACACTAAAATAAATATATAATATTAAAAAATGAATATTTGACTTTTGAATTCAAAATATTATAACTAATATTTAAATTAAATACTAAATCATTATTATATAACATGATTTAATAAAAATTTATTTAAATTTATGTGGAAATTATTAGATTTAAAATAAATGCAATTTGATTTAAATGCATTTTATTTAAGTTAAAATTTTTCTTAAAATTTTTCACTTTCTTGTTTAAAATAAATAAGAAAAGATGAAAATCAAAGCGATTTTAATTGAGTACAAAATATTTCGAATTACAACGTATGTTTTACCATTGAACTTTTGAAAGATAGTATTTAAAATATTTTAAAGCGTAAATTTATATTTATATGTATAATAATAAAATATGTATTATACAAAATATTCCTGCCGTCGATATCTTGACATTTAAATAAATTTGATGATACAATAATACAAATTTATGATGGGGATACTAAAGAAATTTCTTCCCAGATTGAAATTTGTTGATTGTCTGCTGGATTGGAAAATAGTACCTTATATTGTACTGAGATCAACAAGCTAGTGACTAGGCATCACTGTTCATCAAGCGGCAGTTAGCAGTCGAGGGCCTATTCATTTCTTTGGTTATCAGAAAGGCAGCGATCGCAGCAATATGTTTTCGTTTTCTATATGCCTCATTTCTGCACAAATCGCTTGACCTTAAGCGTTGCTGTAATTTATTTGTCGTTGTCGCAATTTCCCACACACAACTCGACCCGATGATTTTCCCGCTCGGTTTTGTTTTTCATTTTCTCTAGAAGCTTCAAACTGTATTACGTGGGTTTTTAGCAGTTTAGTTTTGTGTTTTATTTTTCTCCTTTTGGGCTGTTGGGCTTTTGGGCTTTTGGGCCTGGGTTCAGTCGGTTAGTGGAGGTTGCATTTGTAGGTTATTGTGCCTGCCCTGGCATCTGGAGGTTATGTAATGTCTCCGCTGCCATTGTTGTGTTCGCCGGGGCATTTGGTTTTCCTCAGCTCCAGGGGGAGGTGGCCTTATCAGTTGCGGAGAGTCACACAGTGGGTGGTGGCGGGGCGGCGGGGCGGTATTTACAATTTACAACTCTGATTGTATAACTGAGCATTTGCAGTTAACTTTTAATTGATTTTGGCCAACTGATTGAAAACGTTTTGCGGAAATCAAGTTACTTTGTTTTATTTGCGGGCGAAGTTCTCCGCTTAAATTTCCTTAAGTCAAACAAAGCGAGTGGTTTTGAACAACCGAGACATAAATACAAATCTTAAAATGGTTAAATTGTAATTTAATTTGTTAAAAAGAAGACTAAACATCTGTTAAACAATTTATAATGAAGCGTCATTTAGTTAAATTCCAACTGTGAGCCACGTAATTAGTATTGAAAAATTAATAAAGTTTTTAGTTTTGAATTAGTAGTCTTCCGGTAAAATTAATTCAGATCAGTAGCGCAGAAATGTCCGGATTTGGACGACCTTATCTTAATTATTAAATTAAAATAATACTCTTTTGTGTAAATTTAACTACGTTTTTCAAAGTACATATTTATGTAGCTGTAACTAATTACCAATCATGGTTGCAAATTAGTAAATCACTGACAAGCCCATTATATAATTCCCATGCCTTCCCTTTTTAGAGTCTATATAATCAAATTAAAGCCTCAATTTCCCTAGCATGCATGGCCGCACAGTCGACTGCATCATGTATAACACTTCCTGACTAATGAACCGCCAGGCCATGCAGCATTGCCACGGATTCGGTTCCAGTTTTACGTTTTGGGGGAGACATCTTCATTAGCACTGAGTGATACGTTGGGCTTCCCCGGACCGACAGTCCGAAGTTTCAGACGAGAGCCCCGGAGGAGCTAAGGAAAGCGGTGCCCGAGGTGTGAAAATAGGAAAATGCGCTAAAGACTTTTTCATTCGGCGCGACTTGGCTGCCTTGCATTGGGCTGAGGGCCGCCCATTTAAGTGTCCAATAATTCAATCACATCAAACGCCATGCTGATTGCCGTTAAAGAGTTTCAATTACAGCAATTTGCCGTTGATGTTGGGAAAGTTGGGCTTATCATGAGAAAGGCAGGAGAGCCAACAAAGCCAATTTTTGGGACAGTAGCCGAGGTGTTACAAATCGTCCAGTCAACGTCAGCCCGAATCACACATTAGTCTACACGATCAGCTCAACAGTCGGCACCTTTTGGTAATCCAAATTTCTGTGAACATAAAAATAAAAATCAAGTTTTTTTTTTTAACATATATCGGCTGTTCAAAATTCTTTGCTCATGGATCTTAACAAGGCCGAGAGCCAGAGGCCCGTCGAAGAGCGCCGATCGGGTGGTCCAGACTATCTGAGAATCCTGCTGCAGGACCTCCTGTGCTTCTTCGCCCTGCTCTCGGTGGCCCTGCTTATTGTGGCCGGCATCCTGTTCGTCGTGGAGGATGTCAGTCGCCTGCAGCAGCAGCGTCAGCTCCAACACCTGCACCATCGGCATTTGCACCATCGGGACCAGAACGCCAACGACTCGGGGAAGGCGCCGCTTGAAGAGCCAACCAAACAGAGCCGGCGATGCTTCCAGCCATACGCTTGGCTTCGATTCTTCGGCTGTCAGAAAAAGCAACCTCTAGAGCAGCAGGAAGTAGCCGAAAAGGAGGTGGAGCCCTCAAAACAGGACGACCAGGAGCAGCCATCATTCGATCTCACTCCCACCTATCAGCCAGTGGAGCCTCTGCGGCTCCGAGCTGGCGGAGACCACGTCGAGGCGGGAGCTGCCAATAAGCCCCATGAACAACTGGAAGGTTAGTGCCAGGTGCCCTGTAAATAGCTCGTAATTATTTCGGATCTTAGGTAACTTCAACAGGGTCTAGGCCAACTGGCTCCTTTTCGGACGTTCGAAGTGTTTGAATGTTCTTATTAACGCCCCTGCTGCTCCAGAATATCGGGTATTGCATGATAGTTTTGTCACTTGATGTACAGAAATAATCGGGGCTAGCTTCAATCAATGTCGATTCGGAGATAGTCCCGAACTTACATAACCATTACCCTTACCATGCAACAAGAGCTACTCGAATAAAAACAAGCAAGCAAGCTGCTGGAGGTGAGGAATCTTTTTGACCCCGTGCAATTCCAAACTATAGCGTATTTCCTGATTTGCCATTTGTTGTAAATAAGCCCAGGGGCTATCTTCTTTGAAACAGTTCTGGATAACCATCTTACTAGTTCTTCTACCATATTTACACTACTTGTATCACTTTCTATACATATTTGGCCATCAAGAAATATAAAATATAACATTCAAAGAGCAAAAAGTTGCTGGAGATGACCCTTTTGATTGTAATAAATTCCACGTTTTGCAGCTAATATAATTGGAGTGAATAGGCTGTTAAAAAATGTTCAATATATTAAAGGTTTCCAAAACTAAAGTTCGCCTAATAAAGAAAATAAAAGCTTTTTGTTTAAAAAAAAGTATCGTTGTTTCCTTGAAAAAATGAGTTCGTAAATTAGCACAATTACTTTTTACTCAGTTATTTGATTGCTTACAGTCAACTGAATTTCTGAGAATCTTTGTTTATGAGGCAATTGTTAAATGGAAATATTTCACACAGTTAAGTAGATACTTCCTTATAAAAATGCCCTCAGTAATAAAGTTATTTCAGGCTTGTTTATAGTTTTAAAGTTTCAAGTATGCCACCGTCGCGGAACCTTTCAATTATTTGCAAGAACTTTAACTGATTCACGACTCTTCAATGGCACCCCAAATTCTGGGCCCAAGACACACCACCACGAGGCACCAGCGACCACTATCTCGGATCTCGCATCTCGGAAATTGTAGATCGACGTGTAAGTGTTGCCGTGATAGGCATCTCGAAGATGCCAAAGCAAAACAAAGCCCGCAGACAAACGCAAAACAAAGCCGCAGACAGAAGCTGCGCATGCCCATGATGGGTTAATTGAGGTATTGAAAGCCGTACGGACGCGACGGCAAACCAAATGAAATGAAGTGTCTAATGTTTGCTTTATCGCGCTGAGACTAAACAATTGCAGTGCCTGTCTGGTTGGCTGGCTGAAGGGCAGGGCTTGGATTGGATGGGGCTGGGCTGGGCCAGAATCCATGCCCGGGGTCGTCTGAGGTCGAGCCTTGTTCTAACCAGCGTGGCCGATAACTGCAGCTGTATAATTGCAGGGGAGATAAGGTAAGAGCATTTGCATAGAACAGCAGCTGGGTAAGTAAACAATTGCATAATAGCCGCAATACAAATATATATCTTTGTGGGCGTTGGATCTTTGTCTTTTATAATAAAATTTAATTAATATAATCGGTTGTTAGTCAAACAAGCTGCGGCCAAAGTCTCACAGCGAGCTCTTGAGAAATCCATATTTATAGAGAGTGATTTCAAAACACTTTTGGGCTCAGACACCGAGAACCAGAGGCTTAGAGCAGAAGCCCTAATGGCGGCACAACACGAACGGAACGTGCAACTCTGGAACTCTGAGCAACTGGCAGAAGTTCTTATCTACGATTTGCTTGAATATTTATGAAGTCTGTTAATTAGGAAGATGACTGGGCCAAGACAAAGTGACACTATTACAATATGCATGCCAGCAAAATTTACAGTTCGGCCAAAAGTCTTCCAACGCTGGGAAAGTTCGCCTAAACTTGTTCTACGCTTAGAACCAAAACAAGTTTGTTGTCCGAGTCTTTTGTATTAGATTTTCAGCTCTTCGCTTGCGTGTTTGATATTTTTATTTACTGCTATAAATTGCATAATCTTGAATGATTTGAGGTATATTAATTTAATGTTATTTTTATTTATTTGTCTTTTGTTTTGTACCCGGCTCTGCCAGTGACACAGATTTATTAATAACTTTTGTTCTGTTGCCGGCTGAAGTCGGGTTTTGGGCCAAAGAAATGGGAGTGTCCGCCAAAGAGTTGAACCTGCTGATCGATATTGTTCTGCAGGTTATATAATGGACCAAATTGATCGCTACTTTGATGTCTGCTCTGGAAGTTTACCCCGGGACAACCCAATTAATTTCAGAGATTTATTTGGAGCAAAATCAATTTTATTTTGAACATCATTTCGGCAGAAGCAATGACAAATTATTAGCTTTATTTAATGCTGATTGTTAGGAGCACATCTCCACATCGATAACCATTTCCAGGCCACATGCTGGGCCTGTTGAAAAGGGAACACGTTAGCAAACCTACACGCACCCAATGACCACGAACAAAAGACAAATCAACAATTGCATGGGGATATATAAATTGAGGGCTAGTTGCTTGGAATCGATGTTAACTGTTACATGTGTACTCGACTTTGAGCTCTCTCCCTAGGTCGGTTTTTTCAGTTTAACTCGTTGGCAATTAAATAAAACATGCCGCATCAGTTGGGGCTGAGTTTTGCAATGGATACGTTACCCCTGTTGCCTCCTCGAATTCCGCTTATATAACCCATATGTAAATTATGCCAGCCAATGAAGAAGAAATATGGTTGGGATCATGCGCCTCACAGGAACACACCTCAAAAGCGAGCTGCCCAAAACAAGGGAACTGCCAGCCAGGTCCGGGCTACTGTCCATCCCAGGCAGAGTCAGATGATGCAGAGGAGCTGGTCCAAGCCGAAGCCGAAGCTCAAGCCCAAGCCCAAGCCCAATCCCAACAATAGCTGGACTGCGATTGAAGCGCAGCGCAGCCATTGACAAGATAATTTCCTGGGGGCGCTGCATGCAATGCAGTAAATCCTACTTTATACTCTCCGTTGGGGTGCTCTAACTTGACATATGCCTTTATAATCAATTCGTTTTTAAGCTTAATTTTTTTATAACATTTAGTTATTGGTATTGTTAAAACCCAAATCATTTTATAGCAAAGAGTAACAAAAATGTGTACACTTCAGTATTATAAAATTTATACTTTTGTTTCCTAACTGCACATTTAGTTTTATGTAATCTTACCTAAAGGTTTGTTGCACTTTTGGAAATGTAATATGTATTGGGGCTCTGTTTTATCTGTGTATGCAATATAATAATTGCAGGTAGCGACTATTTAGTAGATCAATTTGTTAAACTTCATTACTTCCTTACAAATGTAAAAGCAAGAAAGGAAGTTAGCAAAAATATATTATTCTAAACAATAAAAGGAAACTTCGACCAGCCGATGATTGTATACCCTTGAGGATATTTAAAGCGATTTGATTTTAAAGTGAATATATGAAATATGTATAGAATATATATAAAATATGTATAAAAAATTGAAAGAAGCAACGTCTTTAGTCCTGAGACAAGTTTGCGTAGAAACGAATGGACAGACAGTGTTATTGATAAAAAACATATATACTATATGCAAACGAATATTTGTATTTTGTATTTATTATAAAATTTCATCCTAACGCTACAAGCTTGGAACTTTTAAGTTAAGGTGCTAGTCACTAAGAGTTGCAAATATTTAATTGTTACATTATACTTAAAACTAATTTTCATAAAAACTAACCTAAGTCGCCTTCTATTTTTACTTTAATTTACGTAATATATCCTATCTAAAAATATTTTTTTCGATTTTACCCATTTTAGTTTGATTTTAAACAAGTTTAAAAATTATTTTTGAAATACTAGTATACAACTATAGTTATTTGCGTAAATGGTAAAAAGAATCAAAGTTTATTTGACTTTCCCATTGTTTTCGATTCATTTTTCGTCTCATCCTATGGCAGTTATATGATATAGCCGACTGAAATAAATAAAACCGTATTTATAAAATTGAATCGAAACGAAAATTTTTCAAATATTTTTTAATCATTCGTATGGCGTGTTTTAAGTTATATTTAACTTTTGGTAAAGTTTAATACAAATCCCTTTCCTTCAACTCTGATTTCAAAAACTCTAAAGTAAGTGTAACAAATTTTCGTCACAGGCATGTTCATCACAAGTTTTCTTTCTTCTCCCTGCAGTTCGTCTTCGTTTTACAAATTGTACAAAGCTAGAAAAAGGAAAGAAAAACTTAGCCCACGACTCGGCCGCCAGAAACGAACTTAAATTGGCTAGTTTCGCAGACCGCGTTAAGTTGACTGACTACCAATTGTTGTTGCCACGATGCTGGGCTACTATGCGAATAATTTCAAACACAAACTGCCGCCAACAGCCAAGAAGGTTCATAATTATTGGTCGAACGAACGGCTGCCGTTGGGTTGTGGCTTCTTGAAATGTTGCAACTAGCAACCGTTTGAGCGTTGGCTACAGGAACCGACCAGGCCACATCGTCGTTTTGGGGCAAGAGTGCAAAGTGGCGGGTTAAATAGGTTTTGACTACTTGAAGGCAATTGCTTCGTTTCGTTTATGAAGATCTACAATGTTCAAATTAGCCATTTCTTAGGCCCAATCACGAAGCCGATCCTGCAGTGGGTCATGTGAAAAGATGGCCGGACGCCTCACTACATGCTACATTTTAAATGGTAATTTATCCACTGATTTCTTTAATTGACAAACCAGAAGAAACCACCATAAAAAATTGACCGAGTTGATTGATGCCGAGTATAATTGTTCTCGTTGCCCATTTGGATTAATTGATTTTGGCTGTAGGTATTTCCGTAATTTTATGATTTATTGTACCGATCATGAATGTGGCCTTTAATGGATGTATTTTTGATTATTTAAGAGGCCGTTTCAGATCACAAATTATGCTGAGAATGTATTTGCTCTTTCTCCATCGTTTGTTTCAGTTACCGTATTTGCACAACAAGTTGACCGCAAAACACCAACCATTGAAGGCATTTGTAAGCCATAGAAAAGCATTTCATTCAAGTGTCGAAAGTTGACCACAAAATTAACTTTTAAGGGCAGCCACCACCAAAACACCATCACCTTCGCTTGGCCCAAACACTTCCAGCTCCCAATTTGTTTGGCTTTTTTTAGTGGGGGGAACAATGACAATAACCGCATCGCGGGCCACTCGTGAATATGTTCGAGTGTATGGATATGAATAAACATGGTGGCCCGCGAATAATGTGAGACTTGCATAACCTCATTTGGCGGCTTATGGGCTCGCGTGCTCCCGTGCTAGGGTTTTTTTTTTTTTTAAGTCGGCGTGATATCGTGTACGCAGATATAACAGCGCAGATAGATAGGGAAGGCGGGCAAGTGTACTGCGGATTGGCATGGAAGCGTGCGCGCTCTGCAAGACAGAAAAACGACGGGGCCATAACCCATCTCCAGTCAACTCCATTTCGGCCGGCCCGACGACTGAGCGAGTTGAGCGAGTAAACTTTTATGACAACCACTGACCTTTTTGGGCAAAAGACTTGACAGGAAATAGCTGTGGAGTGGCCAGGAAATGATTAATGGCTCTATTGATGCATTCGGCGACCGACCCAAAAAATGCCCAACGAATGCGGATTAATCTGAAGAAGGTTGTTCGGATCGAGCCCTCCGACCACCATTCACACCTTACGAAACCCACAAGTCAAAACGGGGAAAACTCCCAAATTATATGATGAGGCAATGGAACAATAATTCTTCTTCGCAATAATTGCGATTGCCGCTGAAACTGCAGGGCGTCGACAAAAGAGCCAAAAGTTGGGGGCAATCTGACTCGATTCAATCCGAGATCCCAGCGTTTGCTGCAATTATGGATCAATCATACGAAGGCAGAGCTTCCACATTTTTTGGTATTTCGCCAATGCAAACTCACGATTTACCGTCTTTTTTTGGCCACCATTTGTGGCCACTGGGAATTGTTTTTTAACGTGCACAATTTAACTCACTCAAAATTTAAGATAGCTTTTTAACACAAATACTTATCGAATCGAATCATTTACATTTCATCCCGCTTGGCCAGCTCCTCGACGAGCTTGGCACTTTGGGCCTTGATCTGTTTGCGATTGGGCACATTCGCCATGGTCTTGTTCTCCTGCAGGATATCGTCCTCGGGAGCTGTTGGCGCCTGCTCTTCGGTGTCCACGGGCTCGTACATGTCCAGGCTGGCCAAGAAATCGGCATGGTACTCCTCGCAATTTCGCTTGATGGTTGCCGGCTTCAACTCAACTGTATAGGCCTTCATCAGCTTGTAGATCTTGCGCTTCACCATATGCATTATGTTGTCAACTGCGGGGAGGGTATGTAGATTTATGCTTTTGTTTAGCTCTGGGTGTGTGTGTCTCAACTGTTCTCTTCGAAAATCTCAGGAGCAGCGGCCCGCATGTTCAGCATTTCAAATTTAAGCAGCGGCAGCTTCAAGTACGAGTTGGGATACTGGGCACGTAGCAATTTGGGCTGGCGATCAACATGGCGGAGAATTTCCAACAGATTCCATATGCTCACTCTAGAAAGAGCAAAATTAATTAACATGCTAGAAACACAACCACAAATATGCAAACAAAAGTTATCAATAAAAAAACATTTAAAGCTCTTCCCAGAAAACTGTTGCAAATATTCTTAAACTATTTACTTAATTAATTAAGTTATTTAGAATATGATAGTTAAAAAAAATATAAAATGTACCTTAGCATAACATATGCATCAGCTCTATTTTTAAGATGCTGCAAAGTATCCTGTTCGAATTGAACATCTTTCTGCAACGTTTTCTTTAGTTCCTTTATGCGTTCCAGACGACTAAAACAATAATAATAATGAAGCTGGGAAGCTGGGAAAATTATTTACAAATCATTTTCTGATAACCCACTTGATCTCTTCCTCTGACAGATTGTTTACCAGCACCCCCTTCAAAACACTGGCGCACTTCATCTTAGTTTCCAGCATTTCGTGAGCCAACATATCGTTGACAATCATGCGATGCAGCTTGTCGTTGTTGTCCACCTGACTCTTCATTCTGGCGCAGAGAACTCATAAATTACGTTTATTTTGGAAAAGAAAAAGTGTCAGATTCAACGAACCGTGGATAGATTTCCTTAGCCTGGGAACACAGAGTCACAAACTTGACCTCTTTGATAGTCTTCTCCACAGCCTTGAGCTCTAGTTTTAAGATCATCATACTCTGGGTCTCGCGAACATACCGCTTCAGATTCGTGGTCGGAGGCGCCTCCTTGGGCTTGTTGAAATTAACGATCGATGTGCCCCCTGGCTTCTTCAGGGAGGCCAGCATTTGCAATTTGGCCTGCAGATTCTTGCGGGACTTGTCCTCCATGTTCCTGAACTCATCGTTTAGTTCCTTGAACTTCGCTATGGCCGGCATGCCCAGGAACAGGATGTGCTTGATGAAGTTCGACTGGTCATCCATGTCACTGCTGAGCGATCGCAAGATAGGCTCGTAAAATATCTCGTCATGGACCAGCACCTGAATCATCTTCTTGTACGTATTGTTGATGGTCTTGATGGCCTTTAGGCGCACATTCGAGTTCTCGATCTTCTTGAGGAACACCCGTGACTTGAGCTCCTCGTCGAGAATAAATTCGTTTTGATATTTGATGCGATTCTGCAAAAGTGCGCGCCGCAACTAAGGGAAATGTTTGAGGCACTGTTTTAGGGGCCGAAATCATTAAATGCGATATTAATAAATATATATTTATGATTGCTTTATGCGTGATATAGGAAGTACAGCCAAGCAAATCGTAAACCCGACTACCAATCTTACCACTTCTACAAAGAGGCCGTTTCAAAAAAAAAATGTTTAACATGGAAAATAAAATCTGTCACTGCTCTTAATGGAAGTTAGCTTATACTTTTAGATTCAAAATTAGCATTAAAACAGACAACAAAAAATGAAACTCTCAAACTGATAAAAAGGATGAAAAGCTTAAAAAAATACTTGCAAAAGGGCAACAAGTCCTGCTGACATAAATAATTTAGCGAAAGCATTTCTAATGTTAGCTGCTAGGGACGAAAGAAGACTTCCGACTGAAACGATTCACATACTAAGTCATACTAAGTGGAACGCCTATGGCAAAGCCAAAATGTGTGTTGAGTATTATTAGCCCACCTTGATTCAGACTTAAGTAAGCAAATAAACGCATACGTATAATAAAAGCCAAAAAAATCTAAGCTAGCTAAAGTAAATAGTTCTCAAAGGATTTTCAATTAAAACCCAATTCTTATCTAATTCTTAAATATTTAACCATTATAATATGTCGAAGAGCTAACTTAAAATACAGCAAAAATAGAATTTTTTTCTTTTTTTCCGATTTCCTGCAATAAAAATACAGCTTTTGGGAATTTTAATGCAGATAACTTTAAAACTGAGAGACTAGTTTGCTTAGAAACGGACGAAAAGACGGACATGGCTAGATCGAATCTCTCTAGTGATGCTGATCATGAATATATATACTTTATAGGGTCGAAAACGTCCTCTTAAATGGCTGAAATTGTAATACCCTCTGCAAAGGTATACAAATGGGAGTTTGGCCTTAAAGCTCCCAATACAGTAGCTTAATTGTACCAACCAGCTGTTCCTTGTAGTGCTGCTTTAACTGATCTAGACGAAACTCCAGGCGATCCCGCTCCTTCCTCATCACAAAGGTTCGCTGGTTGATGTTGTCCACCACAAGGTGAATTGGCATCTTCTGGTATAGACGCTGCATATCCTTGTGGTTGATGAGAAAGTTGCGAATCTTGTGGGTGTTGTCGTTGACCAGAATATTCTGCAATTTCGTTCGGCCATCGCGACATTGCAGTTTCAGACGCTTGTTCTCGCGAAAATACCTCTGGCGATTGGCCTTCGACTCGTGATTCTTGAACACCAGTCGACGCGCTGTTCGATATGGGCAGTTAGTGGAGCTTAAGCGTTCCAAGAGATCACTTACTCAACAAGTCGGTCATTCCCTTGAACTGTTCGGTCAACGAGTTGGGGGTCCATCGCTCATCGACCATCACATGTTGGTGGACATACGACATGCCGAAGAATCCATGAAAGCGCAAGGAGCGCGGATGCACTGGCTTAGGGGCCAATACATCCTTCTCCCGATTTTTGTCGCGACGCGGTATATAGGCCATACCTCTCTGGCGCAAAGTGCACGGCGGCATCTCGAATGTGTTTGTATCGGTTTAGGTGCTCTTGGCTATGTTGCAAAACGATTGAGTCGATTGAACTGAATATGTGTTCACTTCAAGGGTACTGAATGTTTGACAATGTCATGCCCGCCAACTTAAAAGCAAATCCATGTATTTATTTTACACATTTATTTTGCACTAACATTTCATTTCTAATTTGTTTCGGAGTTGGGTTTGTTTTCAACATAATTTAATAGATACACAATATGTTTTACCCCTAATTCTGATGAAAAAGTGTGTGCATTTACATACCCAAATAGTTTGCATTTCCATGAAATTGGATCGAATTGAATTTTAAGAATTCATCGTGACAAAAATATCTTCATTTTCTTGGTGTTCTTATATATTTTAATAGGGTTCTTTTTAGATAGAATACACAAACTAATAGAAACACAGTAACATTTTGATTCAAACATAAATAGTTCTTAGTTGTAGATAATCTGTATTGCTCGATCTATGGTTATCTACAAGATACATTTCGATTTGGTAAGCCAACCCTCTAAGCTTGTTTCATTGGAAAGAATCGGCCAAATATATATCTCACTGTCTATTGATCTTTTACTAAATTTCATTGGAGACATCAACAAGTGGTCGCAAGTTGCTAATAATTTTAGTTCTGCATGTTTCGGTAATTATAGTTTTAAGTTAGTTAGTCCTAAGTATGAGTATAGATTAGCTCAAACACCAGCGTATAAATATTGTCATAAAACATTTTTTTGTCATTTTTGAGTGTATAATTTAGCTAAATTTACATTGATTCGGGTTTGTGGCTTTTACGTTTACATTAGCTTTAGCTTTAATGAAAATTCCATACATGATTGTTGCTTCTAAAGATTATTGCGTTTGCATTTTTGTTTGCCTACGAGAGTTGACCACCTATCTAACAACAAGAGGAGATGCATAAATCGCAAGTCCCGGTCAACCTTCTTGTTTCTTAACTTCTTTAGTAAACTGTTGCCTACTTTGGTGAGCAATGAAATTTCATTGTGACTGGTGCAAAAATATAGCATACTTTTCTTCTTCTGTGTTTAATTTTCAAGGGCAATGGTAGTAGGATGACAGGTTTTGCTTATGGTTATTGCTATTCAAAGGATTAAAGCCGCAAAATTCTAAGCAGTTTGCATGGATGTGAAGCTTGTTGCAGAAACCTTTACACCATCAATAAGTTACACACTGAAGGGGGTGGTGGGTTGGACTTGATAAACGATTTGGAAGTCAATTAATTTGTTGGATTTTGGCAATAAAGGTTGAGTGCCGCACAAAATTAACAATTAACGCAGAAATAAATATTGTGTATAAATTATATAAATTTTATTTAAACATAGTTCAGCGTACCGGGCTGTAGGAAAACTTCTACATACACTTCTTATGCTTTATGTACACATTCTCGTAATGAACTACGTATATGATGTCAGTTTCGTATCGAATGCTCAGAAGCAATTAAATAAATGTCTAACACAACGTACGCACTAAAGTATAACACATATTAAATAAACGTTGCGGTTGTTATCTAGAATTTAAACATATTATCAGCACACTATACACCAACGTTGTTTGAATTTGTTGTTAAATAATACTTAGTTATTACAAATGTTTTTTTCCTCGCAAATTAAATTTGGACAAAATTGAAGCTAGTTTGGAATGCATTTACAAATATTTTCCTTTTAACAAATCATAATTTGCTTAATAACAATTTAAAATATATAATAGGTATTTAGCCACCAGAGTTGGCTAAAAATAACAGAAAAAAACATTGATAGACGGATTTAAATATTGCAAATTATTACGTTAAGCTGTGCAAACACTTGGACTGAAATATCATTTCTGAACCAGTTTCATGTTTAATCTTTCTTCTGCTTTGAGACAGTTAACATATAGTTCCACTAGATAATTCAACGTGTGTTTAGTGATTGGCGTAGGACACAACTACAGGTTTTGTATACACTTATCTTAGAGTTCATAGGTATATTTCACATAGGTTACTTTCCTTTAGCTATTTATGGAAATTGTTTCGTTTTTGCTTTCTGCATTTCTTCATTCGTTTAAGCATAGTATATAAATTGGTGTATACATATAAATAGTCAAACTTATTTGTTTTTTTCATTTAAATAGTAATAATATAAATATATATATTTATATATATATATATATAAGTATGTATATAGCATTTGTTTTCGTGTTTGCTCAATGTTCAACATTATAATATAATTTTCTTATCTGCTTCTGCTTCTGCTTTTGTTTCATTTGTGTTTGCATTTGCTGCTGCTGTTTCCATAAACTTTATATATTGTTTCTGTAGCATAGTGTAAACGTGTTATATAATGCAATTTCAAGTTCTTAATTTTCACTTGCACATGTATATATATATATACGTATATATAATAATTGTTTTGTTTAATATTTTATTACACATTTGTGTCTGTGAGAGAGTGATTTAATGTTTGCTTGCTGTCTATGAGGTTAGAGCGCTTAAACTGAGTAAGTGAGTGGGGTTGCACGCATGAGCTCCTTGGGGACCGCTTATAACGCACCAAACGGGTCGAGTGGGACGCCTTTATTGGCGCCGTTCTGCGTTGGCTGGATGGGTTGCATGATGCCCGTCGCATTACTGTGCGGCGCCGCCATCATCGTCGGTTGCGCCCCAGTCAAAGGGGCTGCTGACTGCCCCATCATACTTGGCTGGCCCATCACCGGCATTCCCTACAAGAGTTGATGAAATAAGCATTAAAACCGGGCGTACAGTGTCGGTTCAGTTGAAATTCATGCACTGGAAATTCAATATGTACTTATTAACTGCTATGACAGACGCAATGCTACAAAATCAGTGTCAGGAAACAGGTGTCGGTTGAGCTTATAGGAGGGGCCACCGTGAGCTTGGAAAACATTGCTACATGGAATCGTACGGAAAGAAGTGAGGTCTACAGACAAGTGAAAAAGTAAATCGCCTACTAAATTATCATTATAATTTAAACCAATAGAAACTAACATAAGTGCAAGATAATAATGCGATATAATTTGGAGGCGAGAACCATAGAGGAGGGGCATATAGAACACGCGCTTGTGGCCCATTACCAAAAAAAAAAAGGATAGTTGGCTGGCTTCACTTAAGGTTAGAAGAATTTTTACTGGCGTATAGTTCGCATTTATAGGTTACAGTGCTGAAGATGATAGATTTTTAAACACAATCGAAATGAAAGGCTAATAAAAATAAATATAAATTAAAAGATTACAAACAAAATCGGTAGTTAGTTTTGAGGAAGAACGGCAACTCAGTTTAAAACCAAAACTATAGAGTATTTATTTGTATTTTTTCATTTTGTTGTCATGGTTTTTTGTTTATTTTTGTTGGATTCGGCTTCATCTTACCTGCATATAATTTGGCATTACAGGATAACTAGCATGTATATACGGATGACTGATTGTGATTGGCGCAGGACTTACGGTCATGCCATGTGCCTACGTTTTGCATATTGATATATATATATTGGCATATTGATAGAATATATATTGATATTCACAAACACACATACACACACACACAGACAGCATTAACACAGGCGGAGCGTGAGTTGCCATACGTGATTCGTTTGTTGTTGTTTGTTTGATTGGTTTCAATATATATTTAGTTGTGATTCAATTTGGTTTGATTCGGTTAACGATTTTCGATTTTCGATTTTCGATTTTGCGGTATGCGTTGGGATAGTTGAGATATAAAGCAAACATAAAATAAAGAAAAGAAAGTAGTTGATAGTTTATATATACTTAGTTAAAATGCAAAATAAAAATTAAAATAATACAAAATAAAAATATAAAATATAAAATGAAATATGTGATTTGTCAAATTGGACTGCGTGTGTTGGTGTGTATAGACTTAGTTATAAGACCCGCTCGCCTAGACGTGCCACTTAACATAGCCCTAGTACTTGTGTTCTGGTGCACTTTGCTCTGATTCTGTCGTGAATAAGTGGGGTGTATGAAAATCTGGACGAAATCAAGGCATGACTTACAACCCGTCTTAACTTTATTTCCCTTTCAGTTTACAATTATTAAATAACAAATGTTACAACATTAAGAAATTCAAAGGGTACTTTGGAGATGATGGAATATTAGATATGATTATTCACTTTCAATCTTATCAAGAAAATTGTAAGCAAGCTAAGGAAATGTTCATACAGATCAAGGATTAACTGTAACTCAAAAGAACCAAGCGACTAAAGATGATTGTGCAAATATTTATAAACAAATATTAATTTTGACAAGGAAATTCACATAAAACTAGGTAATATAGTGTACTGTACATGAAGTGTAGCCTAAAGTGTTGGGTGACACTAAATCGATACAAAATTATAGGGAAAAACAATGCATTAACATAAGTAAAAAAAAAAAAGTGTCTTTTGTTTTCTTTTCTGGCATTGCTTTCTCTCCATTTGTTTTATCTGCTTTGGCACGACTTCTAGTGTATTCGAATTATACATTTTAGTCTCTCGTTAAATTCGAACAAATTCGAGGCAACGTAGAGTTTTGTTGTTTCGGATTCTTTCAAGTAGTATTGGTTGTTTATTGAGTAGAGTAGTTCGGTAGACAGTAGAGAGTAGAGTTAGAGTATGCAAAACTCACCATTGGGCGATAGCCAGCACCAGTAGTAGCCGCCATTGGTTGGGGTGTCCAATTAGCACCTGGTTTCGCTGTATTTTTAGGTGAATTCCATTGCACGGGTCTATGAGAATAATGGGGTAGAGAGTAATGATATATAGACGAAGTCAATGAACACGGCATTTTTGAATTTTGGGCTTTTTCTATCTAAAACAGATTTCTGCGTGATTTCGAACTAGTTTTTGGATGGACTTTATGTACACATATGGAACATGAATATGGCTTTATTATGGACGGGAAGGTCAGTTCGGATGGCGATGGCAGGAGGGTTTAGTATTGGATCAGGGAATCGTCAAAGGAGCTGTTTGTTCGGAGTTGGAACTTGGCTGATCAAATTGACATTTATTTGATCGGGATTAAACCCTTTTTCGGGATACGATTCAACCATCTACTGCGAGTGAACTGATGAAGATGTGACAACATGGATACCGATCATCATTCTGTTTCGGCTTCACTTTCGAACGAACGCACGCACATACATATATCGTCATTATACTGGCTCGATTTACTCACTTTGCACTTGCCGTTTTGTTTATATTTAAGTTATCAACGAGTGACATTAGTGAACTATCCAAGTCGCCGGTAATTATCTTCCCAGTGCCAGCCGGTGGCTGCTGCTGTTGCTGCTGGTGCATTTGCTGCTGATGTTGCTGGTGGTGTTGCTGCTGTTGTAACGCTAGGATCGAACTGCTACTGCTGGAGTAACCTGTGGCGACAACGTTCATTTGATTGCTGTTGTTGTTGGCTGAGGCCGGCTTGAGAACATCGCCCAAGGCGTCGAAGCCTTTTTCACACGTTTGTACATTTCAGACCATGTGGTGGTTGTTTAGGGATAGCCAAAGCCAATGCACCGTTTTTAGCAGACATTTATACACAGAGACAAACACATTTGATATATGTATATATAGTAGATATGCATTAACAATGAAGCCGATGAGCCCAGGGTATTTGTTTTTGATGTTTGTCGAGTTAAAGTTGAGTTTGATTGCCGTCGAGATTTTATATATTGGTTTCAAATGTTTTTTCATTCATTTTTTTTTTTTTTTGTTTTCATTTTGCCAGCGTAATCATAAAACACACAAATATTTTTTAGCGTTTTATAGAGATTTTTAGTGTTCAAATATGGATTTGTGCCACCAACATTAACATGAGACAATGTGAGGTTGTTTTTTAGTTTTGATATTTTGGTTTTAACGTTCAGTACATAAGAACATAAGAGAGAGAAAAAGAGAAAAAAAAACATTTACAAAATAAATAACATGAATTTGCATTGTTTATATAAATAAATTGGATTTTTCGATCTCTAATGAGTTTTGGCATAGGACTAATAACAGGTTGTTATCTACAAACACATGAAGGATGATACGATTATTTACACAAACAACCCAAAGCAAAATATTTTTGTTGCTAATGAAATCTTAGCTTGTTAAGTGTAATTTAGGTATATGGTTAACATGGTTAGATCGGTTAAAATACGATATATTTTTGTTTAAGAGACAGCAAACAGATATGGAGACAGCAAAAGAAACGTCTTCGAAAAGTTATAGGTAAATTTCTGACTCAAAAAGCAAAATAGAGTATCTGACATTTAACTCACTTCTCCTGCATACATAGATTCTTTTACCGATATTAATTAATATAAGAACTAAATTATTTTAAAGTTACCACATTTAACAGACACAAAAATTAATTTGTAAAGGTCTTAATAAGAAAGTTATAAACAAAAAGTATAAAAACTAAATCAAAATACTTATATCAAAGACAACAACGCAGCTTCTTTTGTCGATGACAGAACGACTTCATAATCGATTAGACATTTAAAATGGACAAAATAGCTACAAAACACGAGCAGACAACAGTGGGCAAAGCGTGTTCTGGTTGTGTGGATGAGCATCTGTGACACAGGACAAAGCTCAGAGGATCTTGGATGCCGAGAGAGAAAATTCGGTGTCTGCTGCAGCACTACAAGCCAGTGACGAAGCAAGCTTTGTACAGAAACAAAGCACGCGGAGGAACAGATGCTTGTGGTTAATGGGTTTTGGTTTTGTTTTTGTTTTCGTATTCGATTTTCATTTTCGTCGTGGGACGGCGAATTTTCACCTGGTGGAAACTGAGCGGCGGTTGTCGTTGCTGACATGGAAGGTGGCAATATCGCTTGCAGTCGGTGTTGCTGATGCTGCTGAAGTTGCAATTGCTGTTGCTGCTGCTGTTGCTGCTGCTGCTGCTGCTGCATAAATAATGCCGCTTGCTGTTGTGGCTGCAGCTGTTGATCCATGAAATTGATAGTGTTGCCAAAGGGCGCAGCAACAGATGCAGCTGCGAGTGGGACTTGGGGCAACGACATATCATCGAAAAATGGATTTGGCAACGACATCGACGCTGTGTGAAATTCAACGCAAACATTTACAGGATAACCATTAAAGTAAATATACAAAATTAAAATTAAATGATCGAATATTAATAACAAACACGGGAAACGAAAACTAATTCTATAATCAACACGCATTGTTCAAAACGTGATGCTGGAACTTTAAGGACCCTCCAAAAAATTTATATAAGACTGGTAAACAAAACGTTTTCTAGCCTGGTGTTTCAATTGCTTTCAAGGGCGTATATTATACCATGCTCACATACATCTCAGCATAATTCAAACACAACAAATGTGGTATTTAAGTAGTAGGCTTAGCATTTATATAATTTCAATCAATTAGTAAACTTTAATTGGACTGCTCCGATTTTCACGCAATTTAGAATAGTTAGTAATAAATAAGCGTTTGGTTAGTGACTGCATATTAAGTATTTAAATAAGTCTTCTTAGGATTACATTATAGCTTGCAGTTAGGAATGAATGAAGTCTGTCGTGGAGGAACTTACCTGCCGGTTCCGTATTACCAAAAACGGATGAGAAATTACTATCGGAAACGAATGCATTTGTAGCAGCAGCGGAGGAAACTGAAGCGCCATTGAAACCTATGGTTTTTGTTTATTTTGACATTTGTTGGTGGTTTTGTATTCAGTTTTGTTGGGTGTTGTATGGGCATTGGACGGTGGACGATGGTCGTTGGCGTGTATTGGAAGATTAGCGATTTGGGTTTTGGTTTTGGTTTTCGAGGTGTTGTTTTCGTTATCGTTATCGTTGTCGTAGTTGTTGTCGTTATTGTTTCGGGTTGGAAAAAAACAGTGATGAAAAAATAAAGAGTAACAATACATTAGACAAGAATTCATAATAAATCAAAACTTACAGAAATAACTTAGGTAAATAATTAAATTGATAAATAATACATCATTATGATTATGGTGCATGAAAGTCTTGTGCAAACAGGCGGCTAGGCCGGAGTGGTAAAGAGACAGACAGAGGAGGGTGAGGGGCGTCTAGAGCGCCGGATAAGTGCGCTCCTCATAGCTCTTATACGACAATATAAACATGTAGGATCACTACACTTACACACCGACTGTTACCTATGTACAGCACAGAATAAACGTAATTCAAATCATAATCGCTACTTGAGAACTTAGGACGAAATAATATGAAAATTATAACATGCTACCATTATTATGCATCCACAAATTATTGGCATTGAGTGCAGCACCTGTGGCTCCTGCAGCGGCAGCTCCGCCGCCGCCGCCGCTGGCTTCAAACATGTCGGCGAAAGGATTTCCCAACTGCAGCAGATCGTCAGAGGCCTTGGTGGCTGCTGCAGCAGCAGCGGGCTGCGCCGACGCGGCACCGAACAGATCAACTATCGGCTGGCCAGCCTGTGCGGCTGGTGGCGACGATAGAAATGGATTTGTTAGTGCAGCGCTAGCGCCAGCAGCACCGCTGCTGGTGGGAGACGATACCTTGGACTAGCAATGAAACAGGCAGACAAATCGATTAAAAACGAACCTATTTAGTTGGCCAATGCGGCTAGTCAGCTCACCTTGTACTGGTTCATGGCGGCCTCCTCCTCGGCCAGCACCTGGGCCTTTAGCTGCTCGTCAATGCCATTGGTGGTGTCGAATTTGCTGGAAGCAGCCGCAGTACCAAATGCCGAGCTGGTAGAAGAGAGTGCAGAGACAGCGGATTTAACATTGCGCTGATTGCTAATGTTTTGCCACGCATCGATAACAAACCAAGGAAAATCATAGAAATAAAAGAATAATTTAAATAAATAAAATAATAGAATAATATCTTCAACAAAGGAAATAATCGACTGAAGAAAGAATAAAATAAAACTTCTTTAACAGGTAACTTTAGAATTTAAACGTATCTTATTTCCATTACAATTTTGAAAACATGAGTAATACCACTATGGCCGAATCCATAAGATTCTCTTTCAGTATCAACAACAATATCTGTCAGTCTTTACATAATTTACAAACAAGAGAATCTTGGAAACAATTTAAACAAGTTTTAAATACCTATGTAATATTTCAACTATATAACTATTTTAGCTGACATTCGTCACTCTATTATTTACCGATCAGTTCTAATGGATTCCAATTAAGTGAACAGAGATGAATTAGTCTAAAGCTCGAGTTAAAGAAGTTAGAATAATTACAAAGCATTTACTACGGAAAGAAGCCCAAATACTCTCAGACCAAATCAACAAACCTCGATGACTGTGTGGGCGTATTGGCTGCAGAAACTTTGCGACCCTCCAACGTGGCCAAATGCTGCTCTAGAGCATCCAGCAACGAGCTGGGCGCCTTGGTCAAGTCGGGAATGTCGCCCTTATCAATGCCCACATTCTGAAGTCAGAAAACGAAAGGATGAATATCTTGGAACATTATATTGAAATTAGGTACTTGCCTCGGCCACTTTAAGGAACTCTCCAACACGATCCATGCGCACCAAGAACTTCTTGTAGAGATCCAATGCATCGCGCGCATGTTTCTTGTTCATATCAAAGTATTTCTCAAGCAAATTAATAATACCATCATTGTAGCAAGCAAACAGACGTATGAGATCGCGAAATAAGAGCATAAAGCTCATATTAATAACGCCTGAAATGGATCATGTTTATGTTAGGCGTTTAAATAGACAATAAAGAGTTATAGACATGCCGTTGGACAAATCATTGGACTGGCAGTCGAACTCCAAAAGTGCATCCAATTGTGCCTGCAAAACTGGCAAAGTCTTCAGAAGTTTTTCCGCGTTCATGCTGCGCAGTGAGCCCTCCTCTTTACTAAATGATAGATTACGAAACAAATCAATTAGAGCACAGCTACAAACGATGTGGCATTACTTACCCTCGCTTGACTTTGCAAAAGTCAAAGGCCATGGCTCGATAGGAGAGCGATTTCTCATTCAAATATTTGGCGTAGCGCCGAATAAAGGGCGACATATCGTAACCTGTTGATTTGACACATATTAGAGAGGGTTTTCCATATACATATACAGGTCACACACAATTAAGGCAGTGCCAAATACGAAACTTAAAGACAATTGGTCTGTTGATTAGTTAATTTTGATTGTATTTTTAGCTAAAACGAATTTTAGTAACAACTAGGAAATAAAACAACAACTATAGCCCAATAAAGAAGAAGTTGCAGCCAATTTCTAATAGTTTCTGCATTATACTCACCCATTCTGCCACCCGGAACGCCCATGCCACCATCTGTATAAGGTTTATATTGATCGATTTTGAATATTTAGTTTGGATAATTGCATTTTTAAATTATTAGCCAGCAGTTTTGTGTGGATATGTGGGTCAGTAAGCGGCGCATTTCGGAATTAGTTATTTTTGTTTAGAAATTGTTGTTAATTAAATAAAAGCCAAACGTTCGCGCAGCATTCACATGAATTAAAAGAGAGGATGAAAGAGGGATGATCAGAATGTAAGCATTAGTAAAAATTTTTAAATGGTCACTCGATCAAATTGTTGATGAGTGTGGACAACATTTTTGGGGATTTAAAGGGGCAATTCCGTTGTACCTTGCACAGTTCCTTTGTCCAGAAAGGAGCTAAGATTGAATGTAGAATTGCTTGAAGCCAGATATTGCATAAAACGCTGGAAAGATTATGAAAAGGGCAATTAGTTAGCTTTAGATTAATATAGTATAGTTTAAGTTAAAAATAATAAAACATCAATAGTAGTAATGCCATAAAGTGCAAACAACGCCAATTTGATGAGAAAGTCAAAACTAAATATTTAACAATAAAAGCTACAGAACGAATAATCATTGAAGATAATATGTCAATATATTATATTTAAAACAAATAACAATTTTTAAAATAAAAATCAAACAAGATAGGTTTCAAATTTATAAAAAGCGGACGACTGATTCATTTTTACGCTCCGAAGGTAAATAGTAAAATAATAGGAAAATCAATACGCTTCTCTGATTTTGGTTTTAAACACACTTACTCATATAACATGATTTGTAGATGTTCTGCCCTTATTATCAATCAAAAACACCTCTTGACAAGGTAATAATAAAGTGACGATCGTACATTTAACTCCAAAATCTTCTGATTTCAGATTCAGTCACAAAATTTTATCAAAAGTTTTTGGAGCGACGATCTTTAATATTACCGTAGTATTCTAGCTTTTTTTTTAGCAGTTTTCCTATTAAACTAACCGGTTTTCCAAAAAGTGGTAGAACAAAAGTTTTCAGTTCGATCTGCTTAATGCAGTAGAATCGGTTTCAAGAGCATTAAAGCTAAACATTAATTTGATTTAGACAAACAAACAGGAAAATACAAGTTTTTATTTCAAAAATGGCGTCCAACTCTTAACTACGTGGAAAATAAGTTAATAAATAATTATTAAATATTTTTAAAATAAAAAGATATTTTGTATATACCAATTTTGATCTTAGACATATTTAAAAAAAAATGTAATGTATGGAACATAACTTATGGATAAAAAACTGCCAATTATGGACATGAAGAAAACTACGTTGCTACGCTCATATCAAAAATAATTTCTTTAAGAATAATTTAACATTAATTAAGTCATGTCTATACTTTTTTATGTCGCATAATAAATACCAACAAGATTGGACTGATCACATAGGAGCAAAGAAGAAATAACAAGCGACGATAAGCTTGGTCAGAGGGCATAAACAAAGCGTGATGCGCCAGTAATTATTTAACTTTAAAAAGAGAAAAGAAACCAAAAAAAAAGAGTCTCGTAACGTACGTGACCCTTGCAATAGAGTTTACTCACATTCTTTAAATTAAATAAAACAAAATAGACTACCTAATGGCGAACGCTTCAATGAAAGTAAAAATAAAATATCTACAATGTATTACGCCCCTAAGCTTCACACAAACAACCAAAACAGATAAAGAATACAAACCTCATTGCCATATGCCATGAGATGATGTGTAGTTATCAGCGACTTGTAGACAACAACCCAGTTGGCGTTTTGAGAACGCTCGATAAGTAAATTGGCCAGATGAGGTATCGATACATTGGGCTCGTTTGTGCAGTGTACCAAATCTGCAAAAAAATGTATAGATAGGCGTTATTATAATAAAGTACCACTCACAAATAAATAAGAAGTATTCACTCTATTTGTTTGCGTTAAAAGAAAAATTAAAAAAAAATATTTTCTTGGCGGTTATGTATCGATATTAAGGTAGGGTAAATTTATAAGTATTAAGTTGTCCGCAGCTGTACACCCAGAGAAAAATCATGGTAAAACCGAATATTTTCACTTTGAATTAAATATTTTCGGTACTGATGTGGTGTTGTGTTTAAATCAAAGTGTGTTACACTTTCATTTTTATTTTTAAGTATGGAAAAAATTATGGTAAATTATTCTGTTAGATAAACCAATTATATAAGTTAATAAAAAAGATGTTAATAACTACATTAAAGTATTTATTATTATTATTATTAAATATTTTATTGTTTAATTTTAATTTAAGGTTTTTCTCTGGGTGTATAAGCAAACTTCCAATAAATTTAATCATCTTGTTTTTTGCTGCCTATTATCGGTCACGACTCTTAGTTGTTGTTGGCTTATCTTCGCCTTCTCTTTGCAACCGCCTTTCAAGCTAAAAAGTTAACTCGAATCATTTCAAAATGGGAAAAATGCCGATGATAAGCGCTGAAACCCATTGCGGGTACTATCATGCGGTTCCATTCGAAGCGATTTCCCATTTCAGTTGGAAAGTGTGAACAGAAAATTTGCATACGAATCGAGGGGCGTTGGACATGCCAGATCAGTCGTTCCCCGGCCTTTTGCTTCATTTTGTTTGTAAGAGCTGGCGGGCGCCAGACCAGTGATTCATTCATACGTAAATAATAACAAATTTCAATAAACGGAAAATATTGAAAATTGATTGGTCGTTGGGTACACGCTATTGAATTTTGAACAAACACAGTGGTCTGCCAATACAGTGTCAACGCTGTTGAAGATTTACTTATCATATTTACTATTAAAGTTTAGAATGGACAACTCGCAATACGGCTCAGCATCATCTTACTTTCAATACAAAATAAAACAAGAAGGAAGGTTATAGTCATTTGCCCTGATTTTTAGATACCCGTTAAGCAGCTAACCAATTTCAAAATAAATATGCCCCCAGAAAATATTCTGGTTTTAGGTGCTATCTACCAAAAATGTATATTTATTTGGAAGAGTTTTATATCAGTTAATGAGTTTTGTGTTGATAACTATCCTCTAGCCATGTCATTAGAGTGGGGGTGGCCGCTTTTTGAAATAAATTTGCGCTGTGTATACAAATCTCAAGTCTGCTTGTTTATTTCCAAATCTCTAGCATTCCTTTAAATGGTCAGACAGACTGGTAAATAGACGGAAATGGCTAGTTTGAAGCGGCTATTGATCCTAATTAATAATATACACTCTTAAAGGGATCGGAAACGCTTCCTTTTACTTGATACATTCTTTTCAACGAAAACAATATACTCATTGACTATTCGAGTAAAGGGTATTAAAAAAAAGGCCAACTTGAAATTAAATATGCATTCGACAGATGGCGCCACTTGTAATTCTATTGGCTCGTCAAACAATTAAGATGTGCGACATCTTACGGTAAGGTACATTTCGCTTTTTGAGGGCGTTAGCTTTGCTGCCCAATTTTTAAAACGGACATGTGCTACGTAAGCATTACTAGAATTTGCATTTTCGATCCAAATCCAATCTCTAGCTCTTTTGGTTTGTTAGATCTCTTTTGCATCTCCCTCAACGTAATTTATCAATTTGGATTGTATATACAGAGTATTGTATCAGACTATAATTAATAATCCAGCTTCTACTGCAGTTGGTAAGGGAAGCCAGTTAAAAGTTAATTTTAATAATTATTGCCGTCTTGTGTTGTTGGTTGAAACGACCGTAGCTCTTTCGGGTCGGTTTCTAGTTCTTTAGATAATTTTTTTCCGTGAATTACCAACTGGTTTTATTTTAAAGCCGAATATCGTTAGCAAAAGAAAATAGAGAAAATGGGTAAAACAAATACATTTCATGCTGGGCTGTTACCCTTAGTGGGCCTATTAAGTGTAGAGATGTACACAAAACTTTAGAACGGTTTTGAATGAATTGATTTATGAAATTTTAAATGTTTTAAGTGTAAATATAAGACACGTATGGAACACGTATCTGGCACAAAATTAAACCTCATAAATTTGTAGTCGTGGACACATTGCCAATTCATTGGTTGCTGGCCTGGGACAGATGAAATAATATGTTTATGTGGCAAGTAACGCCCTATTTTATTCCCATTTACTCGTAGTCATTACTGATGACTCATCATATAAGTCTTGCAGTCAAGCAAAATAAAAGCGGGTCACCATGCGAGTAAAGCTAGCCAAAAAACCAGATTTCAACAAGAATGTCAATATCTTTGGCTCATTAGACTTTTTTGCAAAATCTAAAGGTTGAAGCATATCCAGCGCATTAGTGAAAAGACTTGTGGATAAATTTACCAAACAATGAAACCGCCACAACAAACATCGCTGCTTTCGTAGGCGTTTTAAGCCATTCAAAGCTCCTACAGACACACGTGCAGCCGTGGGAAAGTGACGTAACATTAGAGAGAGAGAGAGAGAGAGAGCTAGAGAAAAAGAGAAGGGGAGGGAAATCAGTGACAAACGAAGTCCACAAACAGCAGCAGCTGAGGCACAGGTGCAATTGTGGGTGGTGGCAGATGACTGTGGAGCTCTGTGGACTGTAATCAGTGACTACGTTTTCAGAAATCAAAAAACCCCATGAAAATGGAGTGGGAATGCTAGGAAACTCGAACTGGTTGCAATTAAATGAGTGTTTGTTTTATTTTTGCAATAACTTTTAAAATTGTGCATGCACAGGGAGAAACTAATGGCAAAACTAAGAGGTTCACATTGCCATTCTTTATAAAAGGGTAAATTCCTGGGTAAATTCCACAAACAAAATGGCATTTTTTAATATATAAAAAAATAGTTTTTCCATTATATTGTTAAGTTAGTTAAAGTGATTTAAAAGTGTTGAAATTAAAAAGAATATGCAATTACAACTCTAACGTTTTAGAAGTAGAGACCAATTTAAATATCAATTCATAAACTTTAAATGCAACAATGTCCAAATTTAAAATTTAAAAAACTACACAACAAAACCACAATAATTTTTAAGAGTTTAATTGATATTTGTTTTCGAAAAAAAATAATTAAATAGAAAATGAAGAACTGTTTTTTTAATACTAGAAGACGTCCTCAAAAGTCAGTACCATTCGATAGACTGCCACTTTGTGTCATATGTGTGAAAAGCACCCACGAATAATGTGCAAATTAAAAGTTTAGAATTGAGAATTTGACTCTTATAAGCAGTTAAAAATATATGCACTAAATTTCTTGAAGTTAAAAAAGAGTCTTTTATAAAAAATGTCTTTTCACTAACTGTTATTCGAGCTCAGGAAGTTTTACTGTAAAATTTTATATCGAGATTAAGGGATACATTTTCCCAATGCAGCATTCAAGGCTATAGGTTTTTCTCCCCGTGTGCTAACTAGGAAGTCTAACGGTGATTTTACGCAACGAGGGATTGAGAGAGCGAGAGCATGGGGGAGAGGGCACTTACAGTCCAAATGCTTCTTCTTCGGGCCAATGCATTCCTCCGTGGTGGCCTTGCAAACGGACTTGGCGAGTCCTTGGCCTGCAAGGCTGTGACGGGCGGCAAGCAGCCTGTCGTTGATCGTTTGCCCTGCCATGGTCATGATGAAGCTGTTGTTGTGTTTGCTCTTCCTGCTCTCGCACACTGGCTTTTATTTACTTGATTAATTTAATTATGCACCCAAGGAGCAAACAGCACCGACACACACACACAACGAAAAAGTGAGAGAGAGAGACACACACACACGTATGGGACGAGCGAGGGAGAGAGAGGTATTGATTGATTGAGAATATTTCCAACGGGAAAATTCTGCTACGCGAGCTCCACGAAAAAATTGAACGGTACAGAGTTGTTGGTTCTACGTCACAAGCACTTAACAATTAAACGCCGCGTTTTTTGCGCTCTCTAACCGGTGCCTAACGCTGGAACGCGATTTTTTAATTTTCTATTTTTCCTCTGCCACAAATCGATAATGGCGACTAGCAAGTGGAGCGAGCGATTGAGCAATGTCCTAACGCCTTAGCAAAGTGGGGTAGAGCTTGTTATCGATTGCGATTTACGACGTAAGGTGGGGTGATATCGATGGTTCAACGTAATTGAATACAAAGAGTTGAAAAACAAGCCAAATATTTATACTCTTAAAGGGCATCAAAACATTTCTAGATGAAAATCATTTGCCCCTAAAAATTTTTTTCATGGTAACCCTTTCATTATTTATTTTTCTATTAAATATTTAAAAAAAACTACACTAAGTCCCTACAAAATAGTTAAAATTGACGGGAAAGTAGCCGACTCAACACATCTGACGTAACGGAACTTAACTTAGCTGTGCAGCTGGCTACGGCGTTTTTTTAGTTCAAGTAGTCGGTCATACTGGTCATTAAAATAAATAAAATTATACTAAAAAACAGTAGTTAGCAGAATCAGCAAGAACGTAATAAAATTTTAAGATGTTAAATGGACAGGTTGCACACAGTTATCTGGAGAACTCGTGCACGCTGCTGATACCCCGCCCGCCTGCAGCGAATCAGTCCTTAAGGTCGCCCCATCCAGCAGCAGCAGCAGCTGCTGCTGCTTCTTCTTCCGCTGCCGAGGAGCATGGCCAAGGGTCTGGAGCGGGGGTGGGGGTGGGGCTGGCGGGAGAAGGCGGCGCGGAGGCGGTGCATGTGGATCGCATAAGAAACTGCGATATATTCGTTGACGCGCACGATCTTTACTTCTACGCAGACGTCAAGCTGTACAAGTGAGTCACTGGCTCCAATCCAAAACGCCCAAGACACACGCCCAAACTGGCGAAATTCCAGCGATATCATTACGCATATGCACTTCCTTTCGCTGACAGATTCCATAGCCGCCGCACTTTCGACCTGCGGGAGCTAAAGACGCTGCTGATAAAGTACAACACGGCGGAGAACCACTACCAGATCTGCCTGCGCTGTCTGCCCCAAACAGCGGGTGCTCAGGAAGGATCAGGGGGCGGGGCAGGAGGTGGTGGCACAGGAGATGCCGCCAAGCCGAAGAGCGGGCGCAAGGACTATATTGCCACCTTCCTGCACCTGCCCACGCTGGCCGACGCCACCAATGCCCATTTGCCGGACAAGGAGCCCCTGGTCCAGGAGTGGAAACTCAGACGCATCACCGATCAGTGCCAACTGCAGCTTGATGGCAACGAGCGCACCTACAAGCTGACCAACCACTTTGGCTACGGGTTCGCCAGCAAATACAGCGGTCCGCCGAACACAAGTGAGGTGAGTTTACTGCTTTGGTTGTCCCCCCCCAATCACAATATAAACCAAGATTTTTCGCCAGCTGGACAGGGCGACGTGTCGTGTGTCGGAGCCACATCGCATGAGCCCCATCCAACGGCGCCAGGAGCGGGTGGTCGACGAGATGAAGCGCTTCTCGCGCGAACAGTACAAAATGAACTTTGTGGAGCTACAGGTTCCGTCCGGTCACCAGAATCCTCTGCGCTACAAGCCGAAAATCTACGAGACTTCCATGACGCAAGAGCAGGCGCATCTACTGCACAACATTAGCCGGGAACAGACGCATGAGCAGCAGCCGTGGGACATTCTGCAGCAAAACGAGATCGACTGCGGGCTTATTAGCATTCTTCTGGCCATTTGCTATGATGTGCGAACGACCAACAATGAGCCGACGTGTGAGTCGGGCTGGACGCGCAGCATCCTATGTCCGCTGTACTGCTACTTTGAGCAGTTCGACAATTACCGCGACGTTCTAGTGTCTTTTTTGCGACGCATGATCACCTACCCGCTGTACCGCAATTTCGAGCTAGGCCGCCAGTGCGTACGAGATGCCATCGAAGTTCTCAAGGGCGGTCGCAACTGGTTGATCAATCAGCTACTGCTGACGCACCAGCAGTTCGCTGGCGGAGATCCGAGTCGTGATAGTTTCAACAGCTACTATTTAGAGGACTACATCCGATATGTGACCAGTCCAAGTGCCTGCAGTGATGAGCACCTGCGCCTGCTGGCCCGCAACCTGAAGAACGTGCTGATGGACGTGAACAAGCGGCATCTGGGCTTGGGAGTGACCGAGATTGAGACTGAGCTGATCAGGGAGCTGATGCAGGAGATGCACCTTGACACGGGCAGCGAGGGCTCCTCACCACAGCAGCAGCAGGGCCATGGCGACGATGAGCTGGACCTGGATAACGACCCGTCTGGGCAAGAGGACGAGACCACGACTGATGACGACAGTGTCATAACCGACTCCTTCGATAGCATGGACATGGACATGCGATTTATTGAGAACGAAATCGTCTATGAGGATGACGAGGAGGACGAAGAGGAAGATGACGAGGATGATGATGAGGATGGCGATGGCGATGGCGATGGGGCAGACGAGGATGACGACGACAGCAGCTCATCCACTACCACCAGCAGTGAGGCGGAAGGTAACAGCGTCATTGAGCAGTGCAGTAATAGCGAGACCGCTGCCAGCATTAGCACCAGCACCAAGTAATAAGCCACTTCTCCCGAGTCCGGCAAGTCCTGCTCCTGCCTTGCCCAAAACAAACAAGCAACACAACCAACTTAATGTCAAAGAACGGAGGCTAAACAGTGATTACTTTTAAAAGTAAAATACAAAAATTAAAAAAAAAAAAAACCAAGCAAAGGATGTACATTTACACAAAAACAACCCAAAAAATCTACTTAAATCTTAATTGTACAATAATTTAATGAGACGCAAACTCAAAGATTTGTTCACGCCAAATGCGAAAAGATATTTTAATATTTTTTCCCCTTTGCTCTACAATAACTACGATTATAATTACGCATACAAGAAAATCAGAACTTTAGCATTTAGTGTGGCATTAGAGTACGGAACATTTGAATTTTGAATTCTGAAAAGCGAAATCTAGTTGTGCATTTTGTATATACATCTATAAATATATAGATAACGATATTGTTGGTGCTGCAAGCAAAGAAAACAAATAAAAATCATTTAAAATAAATAAAATGGAAATGGAAAGCAACCAAGAAACTAAAAACCAACATTTTGGGCCAAAGTCATCAACCAGTTACCAGTTAATGTTGTATTGTCATTGAAGTCGAGACAAAAAATCAAGAATGAAAACTAATAAAATTGAAAATACTTATTTTTTTATCAATCGTGCTGTTGGAGATATGTTTTTTAAAACTGTTAAACTTTAATTTCTCGCATCTGGGAAAAGACATATTTGTTTCGAAGAAAATTGAATTTCTAAATGAATTATCGGTCTTTTCAATGATGTATGCAAAAAAGCACAACTTCCTGGTCAAGTTATATTCATACTGAAAACCTTGAAGCTATTTTTCTTCAGAAAGTAGAAAGTAATTTGGATAATACTTTCCATTCCTATCCATATTAAACTTAAAAAAGCCTTTGTTTCAGTATGTCTATTTAAGTACTTCATTAGCCTAGACAATTAGGGCTAATTAAGTATCGGCAATTATTTCATTCCTCCCATATGCTCTGTCGTGTGCTTTACTCCTGGAATATTTTATTTAGTTCAAGAGCTTACGATCCGCAGTATATTCCCGAAAAATGCCATTAACTACATTGTTTGTGATCTGATCTGAAACTTTCATTTCATTTATTTCTTTATTAATTTGTCATCGCTGTGACTTGCTTGGAAAGCAATCTGGATTGTTATTTTCTCGATCCTGGACCCCTTGTAGGTGTTGGCCTACCCTGCAAAGCGCTTGCCATGCCAAGAAGAGCGAAAATCACCACACCAATCAGCATCTTGAGTGTAAATGTTGGCGAGAAGTCAAAGATGGAAAAATTATATACAGAATTACATGTTGTCTGGATCCAATCCATTTGTTATTTTAAAAGTTTTCGAAATTCATAAAATCGATTAGTCACGCCAAGAGGCACGTTTTTAGAAATTGCATATGGGTTATTTTCCAGAAAGGTCAACCGCTGCCAAAACAATGAAAGCCTGTTAATGTAAGATTTTTTCACTAGTTTTTACAGGGAATCTATGTAAAATAACTATTATAAGCAAATTTAACACTTATTCAAAAAACATTTTTAAATATTACAATCCAAAATCAAACAATTTCTGTTTTGAACATTTCTTTTGAAAAGTCATTAAAATTTAATATAAAAATAAAACTGCCAATATTTTAAGGTCAAAAAAAAATGTTTAAAAACGATCCATACATAACATTTTAAAATTAACTTTATTCAAATCTTCGAACACGTTTTCGAAATAGTCATTTCTGTCCGTTCCAAATAATTTACACTCTTGTAAACTGCAGTTTATAATCAAAATCGTAATATATAGGGTTTATTATTTTTTCTTTATTATCCATACACTCATACATATGCATATCTCTTTACGTTTTACAAGCTAATTTAAATATTTATGGACTGTTATTTGAAGAACGCATCACCGAGCCCTTTATGGCTGCTTCTGTTGTTGGTCACATTGCTGATGCGTCTTTCAATTACGATAAGTGTAAAGCTAAAATTTACAAGTTAAACTAACTAAACTCGTATGCATTTCGAAATCGCTAGAAGAATCGATGTGCCCAGCGAGGCCAATTTTAGTTGTGGAGCTTTTTTCAATTAGTTATTCCATAGGGTGCCTCCTTCTGTCTCACTCTCTCTCTATTTACACAAGTCACAAATTGTTTAACAAAAGATGTGTGTTTCTAGATTACTTAACCACTACATACAACATGGCGGCCATTCCGATTTGAACAAATTTTTTGATCTTGCGCCGGCTTAAGAAAATTGTTTACTCTCCATTCGATAAAATCCGATTGATTCCAGATTATTACCTATACTTCTTTACTGACACTGAGTTTTTCTCCCACATCTTTTTCAATCAATATTTACAAGAATCTGCCATTAATATAGTTTTTCTGAAGGGCATCGTGAGTCAGTTACAGATCTGCAATGAAGAGATTTCACATTAAAATTTTGAAATCTTTGAGGGCTTTCTATTTTAATTCAGTTGTACTCACTCATAGTCTCCTGTTGGATTTCCACCTTGTATGAGGGATTGTCGTAGGCAGCGTCGCTCTTTCGGGGTGGCGTAATGGACGCCGTTTGGTGCACTCGTCTCCTGGTGATGATCAACAGCAGGGCCAGGGTGGACATGATGGCCAAGGCGGCGATCACGGAAACCACCACAAGGGGGCCGTAGTAGTCGCCCACGGGTTGGTCCGTGCCGGCGGTCAGGAGTTTGCCTGATAAAAAACCAGGGGAGTACGTAAGGTTAGGATGCAAAAAATATATAAGATATATAATTGAAATCTGAGGGTGTCCGCCTAAACGGAACTAAATGGCAATTCTACTTCTAAGATATGCAATTCTAAGATAAATAATTTAAAATTTGGAACTCAAGTAAAGTACATAATTTAAATCTGAGGGTGTCAGCCTAAGAAGCATACGAATCTAAACGGAACTAAATGGCAATTCTACTTCTAAGATATGAAATTTAAAATTTGGAACTCAAGTAAAGTATATAATTCAAATCTAAAGGTTGTCAGCCTAATAAGCATACAAATCTGAACGGAACTAAATGACAATTCTACTTCTAAGATATGGAATTTATAATTTGGAACTCAAGTAAAAATGAGATAAAATCTAGAAAGATAACAGGTAGAACACTTTTTAATTTCTCTTTACCAAACATTTTAAATCCCTTTACGATCCGTTCGAAAAACAGCAAGACTTCAGAGGGAATAAACTTGGTGGTAACTTTAATCTACGATGGACTCCAGCGACTTACCAGTTTTGCCGGGGGTGGCCGGACCACCTGGCTTCGTGATGAAGTTGACCACGTTGCTCTTCTTGGTGTTGCCGTTGGTCAGGTACATCTCCAGCCAGAGGCGGTACTTGGTGCCCGGCTTGAGGTCCATGATCAGGGTACCGGTGGTGCTGTCCCGCTTGGCCACTTTGAAGACGCTGGAATCCTCCTTGCCGGAGTCGCTCTGGTAGATGGCCCTATAGATGTGCACGAACTTGTCCTCCGGATAGGGTACTCCGTTCCACGAGATCTCCACACTCTGGGTCTTCACCTTGGTCACGTTGACGGTCACATCGAAGCCGTACACGTCCACCTTCTGGGCAGTTCGCACCTTGATCATGTGTCCGGCACGCATTTCGGCTCCGTGTCCGGCCAACGGGATGTAGTAGAGTCCGATTTCGTAGCCCGTATCCGGCTGAAGGTTCTGGATGGTGTAGCTGGTCAACGTGCGATGGATCAGCGGCGACGAGGAGTAGATCATGCCAGTCAGCTCCTTGTAGCGCAACTGCACCCCGTCGACATACTCCATTTGGTCGTCGCCCAGTTTCTTCCACGTCAACTGCAGCCAGCTGGAGTTCGTCTCGCTGACCGTCAGTTCGGGATCCTCTACGTTCTTGAAGATGTCCTGGAAGTCTGGCCTGTAGTCGGTGAACGGCGGTGGCGGCGTGATGGTTCGTTCCGGCGGCGTCTTTACGGTGTACACACTGCTTGTGGGCTGCGAATTGAGGTCGCGAAGGATCAGAGTGATTTTAACCTTGTACAGAGAGTTTGGTTCCAGACTGGGCAGATCGAACTCCATCTGGGAGGTGGCGATGAGGTCCTCGGGCGGTGCAAAGATCTGCTGGTCCCAGGTGGAGGTATCGTTGCTGGGTCCGTTCGAGTAGCGCAACTCCACGCGTCCATGGAGATTCACGTAGACCTGGGGCACTGTGAAGACGATGCGGATGGAGCGGGGATCGATGGCCTCCAGGGTGTGAACTTCAATGTCAGGCTGCAGGTTGCTAGCTCCTAGTTGTGAAAATCAAATTAAGATTTTAGGTTTATTTAAAGCTTGATAAAGATCAGACAAGAGATGAGCAATGTTGCATTGTACGTTTAAATTGGTTTAAAAAAGATTGGTAACAAATTAAATCAAATTATAAATACTATTCAGAAACTGAAATACCATTTGTAATCTAATAAAGTTTACAAAAAGGGCAAATGTTAAATACTGACTGTTTTAAATCAACATTTATCATCTATAAGATAAAATTGGTATAAGCGATATCAGTTTCTTGTTATCAGTGTTGGTGGGATTGATAATAAAATAAACTAAAGAACCAATTGATTCAGACTAACTCTATAGATATTTTTTCAATATCTATAAATTTTTCAGTAACATAAAATAATATTTAATTCGAAACGGTATTTTTGTAAAAAGCGTTTACGTTTTCCCACGGAGATCATTCTTTGCTCATCTCTGACTTAGATTTTAAGTTTTTGTTAGAGTTTTTTGTTAATTAACGATTCTGGTTTGGTTATCGCTTGGGTTGCGGATTAGGAAGGCTGCAAGCAAGTTAATGATGGATGATCTCTGTGATAAATGGGTGTGTGGGTGCTTGGGGTGAACGTGTGTGTGCGAGTGTCTGTTGTTTTGTTTGTTTTGTGGTTGGTGTTGTTGTCTCAGTTAGTGGAGTAGGACCCTGTCGCAGTGTGTCTGTTGTTGCTAGAGAAGAGCTGAGCAGAGTAGAGGGTATCTACTAGAGGGTTTGTGACTAGAATAGTTTGCTCAACCTGACTGCTGCTGCTGCTGCTGCTGCTGCTTGGCCAGCTTGTCCTGGTTGTGGTGCAGACTGTGCTCACTGGCCTGCGTGGAAAGGCCCGAGGAGGTGCTCGAGCTGGGCAGGATTGTCTGCTGCAGGTGCTGCTGCGGGGTCGTCTGGTGTTGCTGCGTGGCAGCACCGATGTGGGGGGGCACTCCCAGTCCCGGAATCACCGGGTAGCTCTCGTAAGCCACTGTCTGCCCATCGACAATGGCAATGCCATGTCCTGGCGGCGGCGGTGGCACTCCACTGTGCACAATGGGCACATAGTGACCCGGATGTTGCTGCTGCTGCGGATGTTGCTGCTGCGGTGCCAGTGCCTGATGTTGCTGGTGGGGCGGTGGTGGCGGTCCACCTGGAACAGTTTGCTGCAGGTGCTGCAGTATCTGTTCGATTCGCACTTGAGGACCCAGGTTGTGATTGTCTTTTTGCGGTTGTCCAGTATGAAGCGGTGGTCCTGGCTGTCCAGGATGCCCAGGATGACCAGGATGACCAGGATGACCTGGATGACCCTGATGTCCTGGTTGATCAGCACCCAATATATTGAACAAGTCGGACTGA